CGTCTACCTGTTGCATATGACGTGCAGTGACACATAACATGCAGAGTAGTTTCGTCCTCTAATTTGCAACCCCTGCAGGTCGGTTGATCTCTCAGTGTCCTGTTAAAAAAGCCACTGTCCTCCTTATTTTTTGCCTGCTGAGACCTAGCAGTTCATGTTTAGGTACTGGTTGTGGAGGTCCCACCAAGTGTCTCATCCCAGTACTTTCTGTGTTGTTCCAAGATCCACTGCCGAACTTCCACCCTAACTTGGGCATGAAATTGGTTGGTCAGTGGTTTCTCGGTCCCTGCCTTAGCAAGTTCCGCAGCTATCTCGTATTCTGTGTTCCCTTTTGTACCAGTTGCCCAAGTGAGTTTCACTCTGTTTAAGCTCCCGGCCAGGGTTGTAAGTTCTTTTACACATTCTAACACACATTGTGACCTGTGTGTACGATTGTAATGCCTTTATTGCGGCTTCATCTCCGGTTACGATGGTCATGTGCTTACGTGCTCTTTCCTTCATTTTCCGGGCGCAATTTGTTATTGCTAGGATGTTTGCTTGGAAAGCTGTCGTAGTTGTACCCAGGATTAAGGTGATCCTTTGACCAGTTCTTCCTCTTTCGACTATACCATTCGTCGTAGGTTAGTGTAAGGACCGCCCATCCCGGACAGCTCACTTCCGATTTGTCACTGTGGGCGCGCGGATTGGTTGCTAGGGATGCGTTGTTTATCCTGGGCGGAGCCCTGAGCAGATAAACGATTTCTGACCCGGCCGGAAAACTGACACTTTGACACTAATTGGGCTTTTTGTTGAATTTGCTGCCCGGATCGGTTCGGGAAGCCGCTGGAAGCTGCCACCGGAAAATTCTGTGCACGCTCCCCTTTTCAGTCGGCTGCGTGTTCGCCAACGCCTCCCTTCTTGGGCCGCATTGATTCTTTTATGGAAATCTGTGCATCGCAATCGTTCATATTTGCACGTTGCGACAAGGCAAAATGTCTTATACTGGATGGTCCACAAATTAGGGCAAAAACCATTTACAAAATTTGAGGAAAATCCCCATTTTCAGGTTGGTTACCGAAAATTGTCCTCAGGTTTTTAACTGTTAAAAGCTTCGTTGGCGAGAAAAAAATTWAATTGTGAAAACCGCAAAAAGTTCCTAGGTTTCCCCCTGGAAATTTCCGGCAAAATTTTCTTTTCAAATTATTTCCYTGTTGAATAATTCGTATTGRCTGGCGCCTRCCTATTTGGAGRTGWYKWGMAGGTACASSRWGTYTAGAWGRTMTGGAAGGTACYGTWSGAAKGGWRKKTASCCATGGAAGGTACCRTTTAAAACATGGTCACCCTGTGTGTTTCACTGAGGGGCACGCGGCCGCCCCTTTCCCACGTCCTCGGCTCCAAATTTCATGCAAATGATGGAGGAAAAGTGGGACAAATGTCCAGTTTTCCCCCCCGCGTCTTGGATTTTTTGAGGTCACGTCGCCAGGAAAATACATATTTTCCCGAGATTTACTATGCAAACACGCCGCACGGCGAGAAAAGGCGATAAGGCCAGTCACGACACATTTATTAGCGGCCCTTGGCGCACGATTTCCCCCCATCTGGAGGCCCAGATCAATGGGCGGAAGGGCCGGTGGGGCCTCAGCTAACACTCACATCCCTACCGAGACAGATCAAGGCTGGCATATGGAAAATTTGGGCCATTTAACGGGGGAAAAGCGGCAGCACGCCAATGTCGGCCATCATGCGAATCCCTCATAGTTGACCCTGAGGCTCCCCACCACTCTCCATTACACCCATTACTCCAGCTAATCCCCATTCGCCCCCATAGTCCGTCTGCACCCCATCTTGGCGCGTTCTCCGTCTCCAATGTGGGACATCGAGCTGGATGACCAGACTCCTTTCGCTGTCGTGTCCGTGCCCAGAATGGTGAGCGTCTGGACTTGCGGGGATCTTCCTGGACGCTTTCTTTGTTCCAGGCGGCCAGCTACGGCAAGAAGAACGGACTGTGGAACCAGCCGCCGGGCGGCCAGAGTTGGAGCAAGGCGACCAGTCGCAAGGCTTCCATGGTGGAGGCAGACGTTTCGGCGCCAGGCAGTGGCTCCTTGAAGCCATCATCAGGCCGGGTGATCCGCATCGTCAACAACGCCGACCACACTGTGCAGGTAAGCCGCTCTTTCGAGTTTGCAGTTTCGAGTTGCAATGCGCTTGTCTGCTGCAGTGCCGCGTTTTGTTGAACCTCCGCACCTCACAGCCCTTTGAGGAGGTTTTAGAAGACTTGGGCCAGGTGCTCAAGATGAGCGGCGCCCGCCGCATGTACACGGTAAACGGCCAGGAAGTGCGCAGCTTTTCTCAGCTGCGGAACGAGTTCGCTGATGTTGACACCTTCTACTTGGGTGAGTCCCTCAAGCTTTGAGGACGCAATGTTGAAAAGCCCCGCTCAACAGGAGCCGGCCTAGTAGGGCCCGTGTCCACTCCCGGTGTGTTGCTGTCGCCGGTCAGAAGAGGTCGCGCCCGCATGCCACACAGCGCCCTCGTCGAGGACATTAGCAAGCAGCGCCGCGCTAGAAGCAAGAGCCGCCCGCGCGCTCTCTACGCCCCCGAGAGCGAGATAATCCGCGCGAACGGTTTGTGTAGGCCACGCCCCCCGATTCCCGCTCATCCTCCTCCCTTGCAGACTACACGCTGTTGGAGGTGATGAAGGAGGAGCCCATTCGGGTGACCATAAAAGGGCTGCGCAGAACCTTCTACCCGCCCAGCCACCATGCGCCCATGGACAACTCGCCCCCCGAAAAGAAAATGCTCCTGGAGTGGGTGTATCCTTTGCATAACATTTAAGTATCACCCGCCCATCACTCACTTCGGCCCTTAACTCAGCGACGCAGGTACGGCTACCGGGGCACTGACAGCCGCAAGAACCTTTGGGTGCTCCCTACCGGCGAGCTGCTGTACTACGTGGCGGCGATCGCCGTGATGTTTGATCGGGACGAAGACACGCAAAGGCACTACTTGGGACACACTGAGGACATCCAGTGGTAGGTGGGAGGGAGGCGCATCAGCGCAAGACGTTGATGATTCGGGGCTGTTCCAGCATGGACCTGCACCCTTCCAGAGAAATGGTCGCCTCTGGGCAGAAGGGCGGCCGCAACCGCAAGACGCAGGCTCACATCCGCATCTGGAGCACCCAGACCTTGCAAACGCTCTACGTCTTCGGAATGGGCGAGTTCGAGCTCGGGGTGGTGGCAGTCGCTTTCTCCTTCCTGGTAAGTGCTCGCGATTGACTCCGAATCCGGCCTGGACACGGGAGAATGTTCCAGAACGGCGGCAGCTACGTGCTGGGCGTGGACGGAGGCCGGGAGAGCATCCTCTCGGTATGGCAATGGCAGTGGGGCCATCTGCTGGGCAAAGTCGCTGTAAGCAAACGCTCCCTAAACCCGCGCCCTCCCACTAATCCAGTCAACCCCCCCCCCCCTCTCTTCCAGACCCTTCACGAAGAGGTCACTGGAGCGGTGTTCCATCCGCTGGACGACAACCTCATGATCACCCATGGRAAGGGGCACTTGACCTTCTGGAACCGRCGCAAGGACGGGTTCTTTGAACGCACCGACATTCTGAAGCCGGTGAGTACCTGAAGGGGTGCCTGGCACCCAAACCAGCTGACCGAGGACGAGGTGTTTCAGCCGTCGCGCACCCTGATCACCTCCCTGCAGTTCGAGCAGGACGGCGACGTCATCACTGGGGACAGCGACGGCTTCATCACGATTTACAGTGTGGACGCGGACGGCGCCTACTTCGTGAAAATGGAGTACGAGGCGCACAACAAGGGCGTCGGCGCCGTCGTCATGCTGTCCGAAGGCACCCTGCTCTCAGGCGGCGAGAAGGACAGGCGCATCGCCGCCTGGGATTCCCTGCAGAACTACAAGAAGATCACCGAGGTCAAAGTAGGTCGCTGAAACAGTGAACGAGACGCGTGCAGCGCTGATCGCTGGTCTTTGTAGCTGCCCGAACTGTTCGGGGGAGTGCGCTCGATCTATCCGCAACGGCCCGGCCGCAACGACGGCAACATCTACGTGGGCACCGTGAAGAACAACATCCTGGAAGGCTCATTGCAGCGCAGGTTCAATCAAGTAGGCGTGTAGTAGCCAAAAATCATGCGCAGTGGCGCCTAACACCTTTAACGTCGTCTAGATGGTGTTTGGGCATGGGCGTCAACTGTGGGGGCTGGCGGTCCATCCTGATGACGAGGTGTTTGCCACCGCCGGTCACGACAAGAACATCGCCCTCTGGCGGAAGAACAAGCTGATATGGACCACGCAGGCCGCCTACGAATGCATTGCGCTCACGTTCCACCCCTTCGGGGTGGCGCTGGCGGCCGGCAGCTCTGAAGGCCATCTGCTGATCCTCAATGCGGAGACCGGGCAGATTGTGAACACCATCAGGGTGTGCGGGTCGCCTCTCAATTGCGTGGGCTTCAATCCAAGTGAGTCGCTAGACGCGCTGGTTCATTGGCAGCTCAGCACTGAAACGTTCCGTAGGTGGCGAGCTGATCGCCATTGCGTCACAGAATGGCAGCATCTACCTGTTCAGGGTGAGCAGGGACGGGTTCTCGTACAAAAAGGCGAACAAGATCAGGGGCTCGCAGCCCCTGATGCAGGTGGACTGGAGCTCTGACAGCAGCTACCTGCAAGCGGTCACTGCCGACTACGATCTCTCCTTTTGTAAGTGAAGCTGTCGAGATCCTTAGACCCGCTAAAGTCGTGATTCCGGGATTTTCAGGGGACGTCAAGACGCTGACGCCGGAAAAGAGCCCCATCGCCATGAAGGAGGTCAAGTGGGCCACCCACAACGCCACCGTGGGCTTCATGGTTTCCGGTTGGTTCCTCTTTTACTTGACTGTTGTCAACCTAACCTGACTGGTCCTCGTTCCAGGCGTCTGGAACAACCGCTTCTACCCGATGACCTCATTGGTGAGCACCGTGTGCCGGTCAGCGGCGCACGATTTGCTGGTCAGCGGCGACACTGACGGCTATTTGAGGCTGTTCCGCTACCCCTGCCTCAGCTCCAAGGCCGAATACAACGAGGAGAAAGTGTACAGTGGCACAGTGGCGTGCGCCCGGTTTCTGTTCAACGACCGCAACGTGGTGACAGTGGGCGGCAATGACGCCTCCTTGATGCTGTGGCAGCTGGCGGAGGACTAGGTGAGGGGGGCGGCGACGCGGTGGGCGGAGCTAATCGGAGGTTGGTTGCAGCATACAGTTTACCTGCCGACGATTTCGACCAGGCACGCCGCCAGGTGGGGACACAGTAGCACGGCTCGGCAAGACTCGGACGACTCCGAGCTGGAGGCCGAAGACAGGGAGCAGGAGGAGGAGCCGACTTATCGAATTTTGAACCTGCATTTCTGAGGCTGCAGATGGCGCTGTTGATTGGAAGACTGCCAATTTGGCTCCTCTTGACAAGGAGGCTCCTCCACCATGTGAATAGGGCGGCACGGGCAAAACGCACACTTTCATTACGAATTCGTTTACTTATAGAACCTTTAGCAACAATAAACACGTGAATCCTCCCTGTGTCTATTCCTTCTTTTCGTGGAGGCCGTTTTCGTCCTCGTCGTCCTCGGCCGCATCCAGCATGTCAGTGCAGCAGCTGGCCCATAAGATGAGCATCAGAAAGAGGCCGGGGAGCCCAAACAGCAGCATAATCAGGAAGCGGTTACCGAGCCACATGTCCTCGAGGTGCCGCTTCACATCGAAGACCTTCCTGGCCATGTGCAGGTAAAGTCCATTGCCCCCTAGTCTCTGATAAGTGGGATGATGTAGGTTCTGGGGGATGAGTATAGCAGTGGCATTACCGGGGAGGTTTCGTTCAGCACCCGATCGAGGAAGGCTTCGATCTGCTCCGCACTCATCCGCGCGGGCTCTTCATCGGGCTGATGGTGGTGGAGGGTGCTGGAGTTGAGCACCAATAGGAAGGGGAGGGGGACGCGCGTCATCAGCAGGCTGTTGGCCAGATCCGGACTGCCCATCCACCCAAACTGGAAGTGCTCGTGGTAAAGACTGCGTTTCCTCCTGTAGAGCGTCCAAAATGGTGGGACGGGCCAGAGAGCGAGTGGGCGGACTTACCGAATGACTGACTCCACCCGGTGGCGAAATTCGAGCATCGGCTCTGATATATGCGGGCCCTGTCTGAATTCCTCCACAATGGCCAAAACCAGGAACTTACCAGTCTGCATCACCTCTTTCACCGCGTCACTGGTGAGCTTGGGGAACGTTCCGAAGCGCTCGCGGTTCACCCATTGGGCCAGAGAGGCGTTCAACCGCTCAAGGGAGGGTTCCGCCTCGTGCTGGGTTGAGTTCGGGAAGAAGGCCAACTCCTGGTCTTTGTGCACCAGCACGAAGGGCCGCGACCCATTGGCCAAAGCCTCCCTTCCCAGCTCATAGCTGGTGGAGTAGAAGAAGGCGTGAGGCTGCAGGTGGCAGGCGATGGCGTAGAACGTGTCCCATAAGGGCCCTGAAACCAGCATCAGCACCCGAGGGGGACAAACCATGCAACGAATCCCGAGGAACCTCACCTTCCCGTTCACCCACGTACATGAAGAACAGCTGATTGGCTTTCTTGAGGGCGGCCACGCTGTCGACCTTCCTCACTTCCTGGACGGGAGGCGCAGCCATCCTCTTTCCATAGTTGACCAAGGCCTCCAAAGTGCGGTCCCCAGTGTAGGTGTGCTCCGAATCGGGAGTGATGCTAGAAAATGCTCATCTCAGCCACTCACTTTGGGCTCACATGCAAACGTGCTACCGGCCCTACAATTTAATGGTGGGCGTGGCGAAGGCGTTGAACTCGGTGCCCACGGAGGGGTACGAGGTGACGTCCACCCGGCCCACTCGCACATTGGTGCTGCTCAGCGCTTGCGCCACCTTGATCCAGATGGGTTCGAGACGCTTGCAGTGGCCGCACCAGGGCGCGTAGAACTTGACCAGCCACCTGCCGCCCGATTTGCGCACCTTCTGGAACCCATTGCTCAGTTCCAGCACCCGGGAGGAGTTCGACGGCCGAAAGCTGCCTGGTTAACGAACGAACAACCCTGTATCTGACCTGATCGGACTCAGTGTGGTGGGCGGTCCACAACAGTCCTGGCTCTAGTTGTACTACGCAAACCACTCACCTAAGAGAACTATTAGGGGGGTGAGCCACAACACGTTCATTTTACTGTGAGGCTTCCGCAACGGAATCCGGATATTGATCCAAAACTGGCACAGCCAGGGCGAGAGTGGGACTTGTACTAGAGTACAATTTAAACGCATCGAATTGTACAAGTCTTCTGTTTTTTAATCTTTTATTGGCAGTTAAATTGGGCGTCTAAAAAAGTGTTTCCAATAATTGTTTTCCATTCATATTTTGCTTTTGCTGTATATTCCTCTATGAGCAGACCCCTACCAAATGCTCTAAAAAACCCCTCGGTTTTACTGATTTCTCAGGAAAAAAGTGACAGCCATCAGCAATCAATTGTCTTTAGTACTAAACCTGCTACAACGGTAATAGTGCTGATACTATCAAAAACTGTAGCAGAATTCAAATCCAGTCCGGACCTGTGCGCTTTACGCATCGACTCAGCACTGTGTGAGCGCAGCTGCGACCCGCGTCCCTCCTGCCAGCAATGCACCAGACAAAGATCGCACTACGTGCGTACGTTGCCCCCACACGGCCCACTGCTGGCGCCGCAGGCGCGGCTTCAGCTTAAACTCAATTAATTAATTAATCGCTGCACCAGTTGATGCAAATGCCACTGCCAATCACGTGAAATTGACGTTGGCATGCCCTTCTTCAAGCCCCAAAGCTGCGCGCTGCCGCGCTCGCGCCAGCTACAAAACACCAGCAAGCGCAATGGGGTGCGGAGCACGATTTTCAACACCGTAGGCGACTGGTATGTGGGGGAGTGGCTTGAGGACCAGAAAACCGGTGAGATTTCCCACATGACGGCACTTTGCTTCAGTTAAAACCGGCGGAGATGCATAGGAAAAGGAGTGATTGGAACCAGGGACGGGCAGCGCTATGAGGGCGAGCTTGCGCAGAACCGAAGACACGGCTTTGGGGTGCTGGCGCAGCGCATTCCAGGCACGGACGTTTTCCGGCTCAGCTACAGGGGCAACTGGCAGCGCGGCCGAATGCACGGCGAAGGTTTGCGCGTGTTTCCGGACGGAAGTTTCTACATCGGGCTGTTCCGGCACGGCAAACGGCACGGCCATGGACGCCAGTGGTATGCAGATGGCGCCTTCTTCGACGGCCAGTACGTCAGCGACGTGCGCGAGGGTTTAGGTAGATGGCGCGCCAACTGTTCTTGACCCATCTGACCGGATGGTTTGCGACGCAGGCTTATTGATCAGAGCGGACGGAAATCGATTCGAGGGTGAGTGGAAGAAGGACCGACAGCATGGAAGGGGCAGATTCTATCACTTGAAGAGCGGACAGCTGCAAGAGGGCGTTTGGGTCGACGGTAGTTGTGTGCACAGCCGCATGAGGGACATTGACTACCGGCAGTGTTGCATCGAGCCAACCGCCTACGCCATTCCGGAAGTGAGTAGTCAGAGTGAGGTTATGTGCGTGAGAGTTAAACGGGTTGATTGCAGGTGGCACTGTTGCACGCCGACGACGTTAGCCATTTGGCCACTGAGGGCGCTTTGCCGGGAATCCCTGATTGGTCGGGATTGCAATATAATTATTATTAATTATCAATATTTAGTTTTGACATTTGAATATCAGACACTTAGGTCTTGGTTTCGAGAAGCTTTAGATTTGCGTGTATTTTTTGAGTTGCAAAATTGACTCAATTCTCAAGAACCATTTGAACCATAGAGTTCGTTTTGGGATCGTTGGATAGAGAATTGAAAACTCGATTCAGTCATAACAACATGAGTGAGCATGCAGCACAATAAAACAGCTAGCGGAGTTGGCAGCGCGGCCAGGCCCCATTTGAAGGTTGACTGCGCCTGCCTGACAGCAACCATCAACACAGTTTGGGGCCCCAACTGATCAGCCCCTTAAAAAGTTTCTTGGGGCCGCTTCTGCTCTCTCATGGGCTGCACAAAGGGGCCACAGGCCTTCGCTGACCTTACCCCAAGCTAATTGTGGCGATGAGCTAATCGACTGATGAATGGCCTTCTATTAATAGCCTTTGACTGAAAGGAGTGTAGCTGTCAAGCCTGTTCCGTTCAGTTTTAGAGCCCCATTTCAGTTAAGTCTGGTGGGTGCAATGCCGCATCAATGCAAGCTAATTTTGGATAACTATATGGGGCACTACGTTCCTGGCGCCCCTATCCAGGGGCGCGTGCTGCTCAATCTGGATACCGATACCAACTTGCGAGGTAGGTGGATTAAATGTTAAATGTAGGTGGGTTCTTGAGGGTGATTTGGGGCTGTTTTAGGCGTCCGCGTGGAACTCCACTGCAAGGAACAGACGTCGTGGCTGGGGACCGAGTCCTACTATGACAGTGAGGCCAGAGAGCACAAGTCGCGAGACACCCAGTTTCGGGGCGATTGGGAAGTGTTTGGGGCCAACGAGTGGCTTTATGGGGATGGTATGTTTCCTAATTTGACGTGGACTTTTTGCCAAATTGGGCGTTTTAGGGCACACCAGCACAACGTTGTCTGTAGGACAGCACATTTATCCCTTCCAGTTGGGACTGCAGCAGAACATCCCGGGCTCCTACCAGTGCGAAAGCGGCTCGGTCAGCTACAAGCTGGTCGCCACTGTGGACCGCCCGATGGCCTTCGACTACCAGGACGAGATGCTCGTAATGGTGCAATCGCCCGTGGATTTGCGCTTCATCGCCCGTCCAGAAGACATGGTGATGAGCCCCCTGGGCCAAATGAATGAATGGATTCACTGTGGTGTTTTTCCAGATGCCAGTGACGCTGTCCGATGAGAAAAGCGTGTGCTGCTGGTGCTGTGCTCAGGGCCCCATCAGCATGGACCTGGAGCTGCCAAAGGCCACGCTAGTGCCCGGTGAAGAACTGGAGATCAAAATGCATCTAATCAACATGTCCAGCACCAATGTGGAGGGCGTTTCTTTGCAGCTGACGCAGCTGATCACCTACAAGGTGACGGAGCCGGGGCGCGACGAGCGCCAGGACTCGAGTAAACTGGTGGAGCTCAACGATGTGGGCCTGGGGGCGCACGGAGAGCACACCTACGTGTTCCGGGTGGCGCTGCCGCCCACTGCCGTGCTTCCCAACTTTGTCCAATGTCGCCTCTTTGCGGTCGAGTACTTTTATAAGGTGCGACGCAGGATGGAAATGGTGGGGACTATGGGCTAATTTTGGGTTTACAGGCGGTGGCCAAGCTGCCCTCCGTGCACAATAACCTGGAGGTCCGGCTTGCGCCCAAAGTGGGCCACATTCCGCTGGGCTGGAACGGGGGGCCGGCGCCCAGCGCCCCCCCAAAGGAGCTGGAGGCTGCACGCCCCTACGAGCAACGTAAGGATCAATCAAGCCCCATTTCTGTTTAGTTTTTCTGGACTTTATTGTGTGTTTCAGCAGCGCCCCCGTCCTATGACAGCCTCAATTGAAAATTAAAAAATTGCTTTTGAAAAGTGGTAGTTTGCTGCGTCCCTTGTCCCGCTTTGCCGACAAATGGGCCAATCGAGGGGGCCTCACGGCCCCTTGGGCAGGAAGGTGATTTCGGTGCAGGTTTGCGTGAAGAGAACGTACAGTTCGGAGTCCAGGCCGATGCTGTGGATGTCGACGATGTGGGCGCGGCGGGCGCCGGGCGCTAGCCGCGCCAACGCCACTCCAGAGATGCGCATCATGTACGAGTCCCGTTCACTGGACGCGCCCCCTGGCCTGGACAGCTGCACGTGACAGATCACGTCCACATGAATGTGCTTCTCGATGGCCCACTGTCCAGTCTTGGTCTTAATCTGCAACATTTCCCAAGGTAATCAGGGCTTCGCCCCCTTAATCGCGCCCACCTTTTCGGACTTTTCCTCAAACTGGGGATTGTCGTCGCGGAACACTGTGGCCTCGCCGATCACGTGGCCGCCAGCCTTGACCATGAACTTCATGCCCTTGGCCACGGCCCTGGGCTCCAGACCAAGGCCGTCCGGGTGGTTGTCCGACCACATGAAGTTCTGCGGGTTGTTGTAAGTGTCGGGCTCAAAGGTCAGCCGCTTGGCGTAACCCATCCCGATGCTCAACAGCCTTAAGGCTCTGCCGCCAAACAGATGGTAAGTCTTGTGGTTGGGTCGCACCCGGTAGCTGAATCCGGGAATGACGCGCGGGTCCACGTAGGTGCCTGCAAAGCCCCTCGATCAACTACCAGAAAAGAGGGTGGAAATCCGGACTTACCAACCACTGGCAGCTCGTAAGGCTGCAGCCCAGTCATGGTGTACTTGGTGGGGACATCGTTGATGTCAAGGCCGCGCACCGTGACGCGCCGATGGTCATTTTTAATGCCCGGTATCAAGTAGAGCTTTTGGCGCTTGATGTGCACGTTACAGACCTTGGAAACGATGGCGGCTGGCTGGCCTTTGGCCTTCACTGCCACCACCAGTCCGCTGAGCAGCACGGGCTTCGCCACCCCCGTATCATAAAATTCCACTTTGCCTGTAAATTTAACATTTGCGCGTTTTTCAATGCCCAGTTCGCTTAACGCGCTGGCAATTTCTAATTCTGGGCCCTGAAAGAGTGAGCATCATAAGTAAGGGGATCATTGGACGGTCCCTTTCAAGCTTGCCAATCACTTACGACAGCGGCGTTTCCAATTCAGTTTTGGACTTTTTCGGGTCGAGCCCCCCCCGTTTCAGGTCGGAAGCGTGCGATGGGTCTGATAAAACAACGGTTTTGGCTGGTTCTTACCCATTCCCCCTTTAGCCGCCCAGCTCAGTCTGGAGGGAAGCTTTGCGCGCACAACCTGCAAAGTTTATCGACTATCCGCTTTCCATCCAGACTGGGCTGGGGGGATTGCAATCCCCGCCCCTTTAACTATCGTAAGACAAACCCCCGATGGCCTACCTCGATGTTGAGCACCTCCACCGTGCCCTGCGCCTGATGGTTCATGTCGAAGATGGTGAATTTGTCGCCGGGCGACAGCAGCTCGAGCTCAAACGCGTAGCCTTCCGGCCTGTTGTCGCTGTAGAAGTAGTTGTCGTTGCAATTCAGCCGGCCATCATCAGACTCGAAGGTGATGCGGCGCGCAAAGCCTGGAAAAGTTGCAAATAACCAGCTGATTGGGTGGCCTGAGGACGACGCTCACCTCGCCCGATGGTCTGCAGCCGCAGGGCCTTGCCCTTGAACAGGCACTTGTTTAGGGTGGAGCGCTCCCCCACCGGGGGGAGTGGGCGCACCTTGTACTTAAAGCCAGGGACGATGCGCTTGTCGATGTAAACGCCGCACACCGGGAATTGGTGGGCCTGCAGGGAGCAGATGGTGTAGTGGGCGGGCAGGTCGTTCAGCGCCGCCCCGTCCAGCTCCAGACACGGTTTGCCGAAGAAACTCGGCTCCTGCAACGCAATTTCCAGCCATTAACTCCACCCGGAGGACAACCGGGGAAACTCACATAGTAGTCCTGGAGCTCGCTGTCGCTTTCGCCATCGCTGCTGGGCCTGTCATGGGGATGCGGCGTGCATGCAATGGGCCAAAGCGCCTGCAAAAAAAAAACGTCTAGTTCCCGAGGAAGCGGCAGAATTTGGTGCTCACCTCGCTGGACGGGGCCAGCAGATCCTCGGCGTCGCTCCCCTGGAAAAAGGCCGTGGATGCGGACTCTTTACGTCGGCCCCCCTGCCAGATTCTCTGCATGGAATCCAGCTCGTTATCCTCGATAGTTGCATGGTGCGCGAACATTGCCATTGATCTGAAACAGTGGAATCATGGAACACACGTAACCAGATGTTGTAATTTTGGCCGCATTACGGCCCTGTCTTTGCCCGCTGGCAAGATAAACCGAAATATTCCAATGGAATTTCACCTCAAGTGCGCGCTAACCTTCGCCTTAATGGGTCTCAAATAGATCGCCAGGCGCCTGACTTTGTTGATTTCTCGGGCAAATTGTTGTTATTTACTGCACTATTTTTGCCCGGTCGCGGCGCCTTTGGACTGTGACGCCTACGGAGTTTGGACTGGGTCCCCGAAGGGGCGCATTCGCCAATTTGTCCAACCAAAGAACCTTGACGATCAACGTTTGGCCTTTTCAAGGGTCGGCGGAAACAGAACCAGTCCGAGTTTCCGCAAAATGGGGCACCTGGCCCCCAAAATAAGTAATAAGTTGGCCATTGCACTAGTGAGCGCAGCAAAAACCAGTCGCCAACCAACTGGTGCCCCAAAAACCCGTCGTTTCTGCCTAGAATGAAAACTACTACTTACCAGATGAGCAGAAATGAGGATATCTTCGAAAGTTTCACAAAAAATGAGCAGTTTTCTAGGTTAAAATCACTTGCTACCGCTGCGAACGTCAACCAATGACTGGCTCAGTGTTGAATTTGTGAAATTCCCGCAGCTATTTCAGTCGGCAAGCGGAAATCGGCGACCAGGAGCGGCTTCGGTCGGATTTGGGGCCAAAAATCGCAAATAGAAAAAGAAATCCTCAAGCTCAATGCCACTGTGACAATCAGAAACACGGGATAACTTTATTGCTTGTCTCTGGTGACAACGACTGAGCCCCCATTGTGCCAGGTTGCCGCTGTGCTCTCAACGGTTCTCCTGCAAACACCCGAACATGCCTCGGGCCTGTGAGGGCAGCAAGGGTTATTTGGGTCAAGTGCGCGCTAAAAAGAGCCGGGGCGAAGCCCCCCAGTCTAATCGGCTCAGCCACAATGGGGCTTCCGCCGGATAAAGCCCTCAAAGTGAGCGGAATGGGGCTCTGGAGCGCGCGCTGGGGAAAATCAATGGAAAAGGCACAAAAGGCCGCAAATAGAACAAGCTGCGAGCTACGCTCCGCGCGCTGAACACGCAAGCGTTTTCTCCAGTTGCTCCTCTACTAGTCCAGTGGAACTGGAGTTGAGACCCATGCGGGCCCCCGACTTGAGACCTTTTTGCCCCACGTGGCAATGTTGCAGCCACCCAGGAAGCTGTCGCCTTGGCAACGAGTAGTACCGGGGCTGTTTGCTAAGTTTTACGCGCGCAAAACGACAGTTTGCAGGTGAATGATGCCAAATTGGTAAATTACATTCGCTTTTGACCGATCTAGGATGCGGGGGGGAAAATGGGCGGCCGCACGTAAGTCGCTTCTTCGCGCCAATCTGTTGCAGTGTTGAGTAACAGAAGCGGCGAATCTACCTGAATATTGACATTCAGCAGCGCGACGGTCCTTCGCCTGGCCCGTGCCCCGCATTCGATTCGTTTGGATCGATTTCGTTGAAATTTTCGTTTATTCGCAGTCTCGGGGGCCGCAAATCTCCCCCAACGATGGCGGACGATTCGGAGATGAACAACAGCAGCAGCGACGATTCCAACGATCTGAACACCAAGTTCGGGCTGCGCCTCAAGGGGCGCAAAGGCGCCCTGAAGAAGAAGAACGTCTACCAGATTAAGGACCATCGCTTCATTCCGCGCTTCTTCAAGCAGCCCACTTTCTGCTCGCATTGCAAGGACTTTATTTGGTGAGTCGATTCGATTCGATTCGATCCGTTTTCCAGCTAACGTAAATGTTTACTTTCGATGTTTATGGGCAATTTCAACTGGGAGGCGGGATTTAAACCGAAAGCTGGCCTGTCATACGGGAGAAACTGCCCAAGCTGGCGGCGTGGCCCTTTGAAATTCAGTGCGCTACTGAACGCGGGGGGGAGTTTTTGCGATTAAATTTGGCGTATTTTACGGGAAATATTTTGAGCTAAGTTTGACAGGAAAACGGGTTTTTTTGGAGCTAAAACATCGACTTTTTGCGCGTTTTTTATATTTAATTGTGCGCCACTGGACCGAGAGCCAATTACCCAGGCACTTGCACTTAAAGAAAAAGCGCCAAAATTCGTGGCAAAAATGACAACGTTTCGACACCGCGTCCATCATCAGGCCCACTTTAATCCTGTTGCATTTGCAGGGGCTTCGGCAAGCAGGGCTACCAATGCCAAGGTGAGTAGCGCCAAGCGCGCACATCCACCACTAACCACGCCCCCTTTTCAGTGTGCAGCTTCGTCGTGCACAAGCGTTGCCATGAGTACGTGACGTTCAAGTGTCCGGGCGCGGACAAAGGCGCCGACTCGGATGTAAGTGCGGTCACGCCCCCTTTAAGCTGTAGGCTCCGCCCACTTACGCGTCGGCTGGTTTCAGGACACGCGCACCAAGCACAACTTCAAGCTGCACACCTACTCGTCGCCCACCTTTTGCGACCATTGCGGCTCCCTCCTCTACGGCGTCATCCACCAGGGGATGAAATGCACAGGTGGATCTGCAATCCCTACTCAGTCCCCACTCACTCACTCACTCACTCACTAACTCCCTCGGTTAGCATGCGACATGAACGTGCACAAGCGGTGCGAGGAGAGCGTGCCCAACTTGTGCGGCTGCGACCACACGGAGCGCCGGGGGCGCATCCAGCTGAAAATCACCTGTGCAGGCAACAAGCTCACCATTGTGGTGTGCCAGGGACGCAACATGATCCCCATGGACCCGAACGGACTGAGCGATCCCTACGTGAAGCTGAAGCTGATCCCGGGCGACTCCGGGGACAACGTGAAGAAGAAGACCAAGACCATCAAGTCGAATTTGAACCCGGTGTGGAACGAGACGCTCACCTTGTAAGTGGCGCGGGGGGGCGATTGGTTGTGGTGGCTGAGGGCTGGTAGGGTGGCTGTTGCAGCGACCTCAAGCCGGAGGACAAGGACAGGCGACTGCTGATTGAGGTGTGGGACTGGGACCGCACCTCCCGCAACGACTTCATGGGCTCGCTCTCCTTCGGCATCTCCGAGATCCTCAAGGCGCCGGCCGACGGCTGGTTCAAGCTGCTCACTCAGGAGGAGGGCGAGTTCTACAATGTGCCCGTGCCCGAGGAGGGCGTCGACATGGCGCAGATCAAGACCCAGATGCGGGTGAGTCTGTGCGGCAACCGCGCGCAGCCGTTTCAGCGCTTCTCCTCCAGCAGAAGACCTCCATCACCAAGAAGCCGTCGATCGCCCACGACAAGGACGTGCCCCACAACATGGGCAAGAAGGACATCATTAGGGCGACCGACTTCAACTTCCTGATGGTGCTGGGCAAGGGTTCCTTCGGCAAGGTGATGCTGGCGGAGCGCAAGGGCACCGACGAGCTCTACGCCATCAAGATCCTCAAGAAGGACATCATCATTCAGGACGATGACGTGGAGTGCACCATGGTGGAGAAGAGGGTGCTGGCGCTCTCCAATAAGCCGCCCTTCCTGGTGCAGCTGCACTCCTGCTTCCAAACCATGGCAAGTCCACACCACAGTCAGTCAGTCGCCCTTTAATCAATCGCGTCTCCCTTTCCAGGACCGGCTCTACTTCGTGATGGAGTACGTGAATGGGGGCGACCTCATGTTCCAGATCCAGCAGTGCGGCAAGTTTAAGGAGCCGGTCGCGGTGTACGTTTGCCCCCAAAACACCACCATTCCAGACCTGCAAGCCCGCAATGCCTGTTCCAGATTCTACTCAGCCGAGATCGCCATCGGCCTCTTCTACCTGCACTCCCGAGGGATCGTCTACCGGGACCTGAAGCTGGACAACGTGCTCCTGGACCAGGACGGGCACATAAAGATCGCCGACTTCGGCATGTGCAAAGAGGGGATCAGTGGGGACAAGACGACAAAGACATTCTGCGGCACGCCCGACTACATTGCGCCCGAGGTAGGGGGTGGGTGGGCGTGAGCAGGGGGCGTGGCCTTGATGCGCGGTCCTTGCTGCAGATCATCCTCTACCAGCCGTACGGCAAGTCGGTCGACTGGTGGGCGTACGGCGTGCTCCTCTACGAGATGCTGGTGGGGCAGCCGCCCTTCGATGGAGAGGACGAGGAGGAGCTGTTCGCCTCCATCACCGACCACAACGTCAGCTACCCCAAGGGACTGTCCAAGGAGTCGAAGGACGTGTGCAAAGGGGTGGGTTTGAGGACTTTTGCTCGTTGTTGACTCGACGGTCGGTCTCCGCTCTGTTCCAGTTCCTCACCAAGAACCCGAACAAGCGACTGGGATGCGGAAATCGGGGGGAGGAGGACGTGCGCGGCCACGCCTTCTTCAGAAGAATCGATTGGGATCGAATCGAGAACCGCGAGGTGCAGCCGCCATTCAAGCCGAAGATTGTAAGTGTTCTGAGCCTTCTGATCCCCAGCTCTATTCACGCGCGATTCCCCTCCTGGCGCAGAAACACCGCAAAGACGTCAGCAACTTTGACAAGCAGTTTACGTCGGAGAAAACCGATCTGACGCCCACCGACAAGCTGTTTATGATGAACCTGGATCAGACCGAGTTCATGGGCTTCTCCTTTCTGAACCCGGAGTTTATCCAGCACGTGTAGAGGGCGCGCAGAAGGCAGGCGGGCGCAGCAACAACATATCTCCCCCCCACATTCTTCTCCTCCCCCACCTTCTGATTGGCGTTGAGCCGAGCGCGCTCAGAACACGCAACATTCCCCCACTGGGCGGTAAGTGAAAAGGTAAGTCTCCATGTGCCAACTGCGACTAGTCGAGGGTTGTGCTTCGTACAATCATTCAGCAGCGGATTCGGGACTGAAGCAACTACACCTTAGGCTTAAACTGTAGTCTTACCGAAATTAGTAAGCTCATATTTTCTTATCACTTACTTACCTACTTTACTATTGCCAGCATTATTATTCTAGCGGGTAAGTTAGGCTTAGTTTGCGCTGTAAATATCGACGGCTGGGCGTTTTGCAACGGCTGGACTTACCTTTCTCGTTGTGCCAAAACTTACCAATTCCGGATGCAAATCGCCGCCGGCTGTCAAGGTTTTCAATTCTCGCTTCCGCCTTCGTACTATGTACATAAGCCGAGAGATGGTGCGCCCGTTCGCCTCTCTTCCTTGTGTGGAGGATGGCCGGGCGGGCGCCGTAAGCGAAACGTTTGGCAACAAACTCTAATTCCACCCAACTGTGCTATTTTCTGTGATGACCTATTTCTAGTCAATGTCCCCCAGGGGGCGCATTTAGCAAACATGTTCATGTTTATGTTTAGTAGTGACGTTTTTGGCCATTGTCGTTGTTGATCGGATGATGATGATGACATTGTGATATTCCGGGGTGGAGGGAGTGGGAATGATGTCATTTTTGCCCGGACTATTTATTGGTAAGGGAAGCTGGGGCAAATAAAGGCGCGAGTTGATGGTTTTGTGCCAATGTTTTTGGATTCAATGGAGGGATTTGCTTGATCTGTACGAGGCTAGGTTTGCCAAATTTGCTGCCCTTTCTGAGAAAGCGGTTAAATTTGAGGTTTTCTTTCCCAGTGCTTAGAAGACAGTTGACTCTACGAACGCTGAAAATTACGTTAAAATCCCACGAAATTCGCCCCAAATTCGCATTTGTTAGCGTGGGTCCGGGCAAAAAGACTCCCGGAAACCTCAGTGGCCTCCGCCCATTTTCAGCCAATAGGGAGCAATAGCCAGTGGCGGAGGCGCCTGATTCGCCCGCTTTCCCCGCCCCCATTTTTTGTATTGTACATTCTGGTCTTCTGCCTGTTCTCGTTTCCTCTGTCTATAAAACCCATTATATTATCAAAAAAATTCCCATTTACTAGTTACGCCACTGTATTTATGAATTAAACGCTGTATAATCATTAACAGTTCACATTGGTGTCTTACTCGCTCCCGAGCACAAACCGCATATAGCTGTCCTTTTCCACGTCAAACGGCAGCTCTTGCGCGTCCAAACCGGCGATCTTCGTCCTGATGATTTGCGCGTATTCTTCCAGCTGCGCCTTCCGGTGCTTGACGACGAAGAGCTGATGTTCCACCACGATCAGCCTCTTCGCCACTCGGCCCACCAGTTCTTCATCCAGATGGTCCAGATGGTTTTGCGCAAAGTACACCAGGTCGAAGAACTGCTTGTATTGGTCCTGATGGCGCATGCGAGCCAGGCTGGATGTGGGCAGGAAGCGGACGGAAACGTTGGGGAGCGCTAGACACGGCTGGGGGGCATTTGGGGTCACTTCCAAGGCGCGGGGGTCCACTATGAGCGTGTCCTGCCGGAGCCTGGTGCCCCCCAGTTGGCGCTCGTCCGTGTTGATGTGCCGATAGGGCTCCTGGTGCTCGATTTCGAACAGGATTTGCTTCAAGTTCCGCTCCGTTACGTCGGTAGACCTGGAATTCATTGGGATTTTGGCTGGAAAGCTCCACAGACAACTCACTCACTCACCGGAAGGCGTTCTGCCCATTGGTGGACTTGAGGAAGGCGGCATCCTCGCACTCCAGCCCGTAGCCAATGAAGGGCCCAGTCTCCATGTCTCCTAGGTAACCGAAGTGGGCGTTGGACATGACCCCGCCCACTAGGCTGCGATTGGGCCGCGACATTGCGCTCTCCAACCAGGAGAAGGCCAGCCCGTGGAGGCGGAACGATCGGTACTCCTGGTCGCACACCTGCCCTGCCCCCACCCGGCGCAGTCGCATGTGCAAGTCCCAGTCGAACACGCCCACCTTCGAGTCGTACCTAAGAAGCGGGGATTTGAGTGAGTGGGGGGGTGGTCACGCCCTCACCTGGTTGCTAGGCAGTTGCGCAGCCGCCTGTCCCACATCTCCAGCACGTTGAACTCCTGCGGCCCCGCCCAGAATTTTAGCAAATTTTCCAAATAGTCACGATCGCGATATTTCAACCCTAAGGAAACCATGGGAATTTTCCGGCGAAGATAATCGCAGTCGGCCACCATTTCCAGCAAGTCGCGGGCGGCATTGACCAGGTAGTTGGCACTGAACGGTCTGAGCACCGTATTGCCGTAGAGCTCCATCAGGAGGCGCGTCTTCTGATCCAGCCCCAGCTGCGGCTGCAGCGCTGTCAGCAGGATCAGAAGTTGGCGGGCGACCGTCTCCATGCAACCCTCCACCAGGTGGAAGTTCAGCTGCAGCTGCAAACGGGTGCGGGGTTGATAGGGGGCGTGGCATGTCCTCTGTCACTCACCGGTTGGTGTCTGTAGCGCCGCGCGACCGTTTGGAGCACATGCCGACAGTCGGTGGCCCCCACTAAGAGGATGTTTAGCTCCGCCGGCAGCTGGGCGGAACAGTCCAGGTACATCTGGCATAGATCGACGGCAGGCGTTAGCCCCCAGAACATCTTGCTTGTTGTGCGCGACTGACAGTGACATCGATCAAACCAGCAACTTGGTTGCCTGGCAACTACAGGGGGCAGCTGCGCGAGAGTCCATTCGCCAGGTCAACTAGCGATGGTGGCGCTGCGTCAAACGTCAAATTACTCGTTGTCGAGTGACAGTTGACACGTGTCTGACTTGTTTATTGCTTGGAGTTGATGACATTTCTGCATTGAAACAATACTGACACACTTTTCGCTTCTATTCCTTTAAAAGCTTGCAAAAAAGCCAAATTCTCATTTGAATATTGTGATCAAAATGGCGAATGCGGCCCAATGGTAAACATCACGCGCGCAAGTCTCCAGCGTTCCTGCGGCTCGATTCCCCTCAGCAGTTTCCATTGAATGACAGTATTTTCCACGACGTCGTCCCGCTTACTGGAAATAGCGAATGCATTCATCGTGCCCTCTTTGTTAGATCAGCCGCGATTCGCACGGGTGCAAGTGAATCAACCCAGAATGTAAACCAGGGCACGCCCATAAACGTTTGGCTTTTGTTTTTGTTTGGGGTTCTGCCCACACCGCGCCCCAGGTTCCGTTTGCCAAATTGCACTCCATTCCCTGCATTTCGCTGCTGGGATTTTCACACGGAAAGTTGGAGTGAAATTGCGTGTCTCCCTGTGTGTGTGAATGTGATCGATCTGAATCCGGTGTAGGTTGCCACGTTTACCAGCGACAACATCGCATTGGGTCCAGCCAAAACAATCACGGTAAGAATTGGATTTTTGTCAGCTTTTGTCTTTGTCTGCTGGCCCACAGGGCATACGGGTGTGAGTGAAACGCCTCGCGTGATCAGGTGTGGCGTCTTCTGAGGGCCAGTTGCAGCCTCAAGGGGGCCCCAATTTGCAGCCCCCCAGAGAGAGAAACTGTCACTGGCTGACGTCTGTTATTTATGACACATTCGCTGTTTTTTGGGCAGCGTTGCCAACAGACACTTTCAGTCGCTGTTTTCCATGCAAAATTTGTTTAATTGCGTCGGGACCGGAAATTTTCCAGGAAACAAACCGCCCTCAATGCGGCAACAATGCGGGGAACTTCGTCTGGCCGTCCAATAACAGATATTTAGTTTTTTGTTGTTTTACCGCAAAATACCCTTGATTAAATTAAGTTTCAAATGGCGCTGTGTTGCAAACTGCACGAAACAACAACAAAAAAATAATTGGTACTCCTGAGTAGAAAACAGGGTCAAACGACTGTTGCCCTGGCAACAGGACAACACAAACACCGCCAGGTGAAGGCGCCGCTTCAAGTTTGAATCAAAAGTGTGAAAATGGCTCGCGCAGGGGCCCCCCTTTTGGCCCCAACATTTCCAGGGCTCCGCCCCGAGTGGCCGTTTAATTCAGTGCCGTTTTTCCAGCAAACAATAATTGATTGGAGGACTCAAGGACAGAAAAGGTATGGTGTTCTTGTTGACCGAGTGGGGCATGGGCGATAGACAACCAATTCATGGCAATTTCGCTGCTCACGCGTCCACCAGTCAACCAGCAGAAACTTCAGAAGTGGATCTGCTTCCTCTGAGCAATCAGGTGAGTCCAAAACAGTCGAGGCAAACTGCCAACTAGCGGCCGGACAAAATGGCGAATGCGCAAAATTTGCAGGTGGGTGGCCACACGCGACTGATGGTCCTCAATGCCAGCACCATTTGCAAGCCGCTCAACTTCCGAGAGCTGGACTTTTACCAAAACATTCAGGACCGAGACATAAACACGTTCGTTCCGAAATACAAAGGTAAGCCGAGTAATGCTGTCGCGATAGCGACTCTCACCCATCAGTAAGTACCTGAGGCTCTGAACCTGGAATTTAAGTGAACATTTGAACTCTACCTGTATAAGATATCTCTGTTGTGCTGGCGATGGTTTCATGTGTGTGGCTGGCGGAATGTGCGATTGTTGTTTGGATTGATTCAATCGACTGACTGGATGAAATGGCGAATGCGCGATAGGGACGAGACTGTCGGCTGGGCGCTCTGTCGGCCGAACAGCCGGCAGTCTAGCGGACCGAGCGGCACTAGCGGGCGTGACTGTTGACGCGTGCCTGTGGTATTCTCATGGTAATTTCCACAACAACGTTTTCATTGTTTTATTGAGGGCACTTCCCCCCCCACATCGCCGACGGCCCGGAATCGACGCTGTCAGCTGCGAGCGGGCCCGAACCGTCCGACAAAGCCAAAGTTGCGTCGGCGCAATGGGTTTGTATGGACCTGTATCGCTACACTTATTACGGGTTGGACTCCTCTTCTTATCGCTTTTAAAAAGAAAATTAAATTAAGCTCTCTCTCTCTCTCTCACTCACACACACTCAATAGATAGAGTCAGAAAAAAACAAGTTTGCAATCTATTTCACTCTCTCTCCTTTCATCTCAGTGAGTCGTGAAGCATTTTCATCCGGCACCCAAACTGACAGAAGTGACTATAGCGGGGTGGGGGTATGTGTTGCAGGCGTGATGCAGGCGACCATTTGCGGCGGCGCCAAGATGGAGAAGCGCTACAGCCCGAGCTTTCGGGGCGAGGCCAAGCCGCTCAAGGCCGACCGCAAGCGCAAGCGAGAGGACGTGCTCAAGTAAGCCATCGCCGTTCTTTCTTGTTTCTGCGCATCAGCTTTCACCCACTTGTTCTGCGCAGAATGCGCATCCATCACACCGGCAATCCGAAGGACGTGGTCAGGAGCATCGCGCAAGCCAACAACTCGAACAAGCAGTACTTTTTGATGCTGGAGAACATCACGTCGCACTTTGACCACCCCTGTATACTGGACCTGAAGATGGGCACCCGCCAGCATGGGGACGATGCCAGTGCCGAGAAGCGCTCCAAACAGATCGCCAAATGCGCCGCTAGCACCTCAGGCAGTCTAGGCGTTCGGTTAGTGTGGGGGCGCATTCGCCATTTCGGACAGTTAATAAGGATTTTCTTTTCTGATGTAGATTATGCGGCATGCAGGTGTACCAGACGGGGACTGATAAGTACCACAAAAAGGACAAGTACTGGGGCCGCGAGCTGAACGAAGACGGGCTGAGGGATGCGCTTTGTCGCTTCTTCAACAACGGCTCCGGCCTTCGGGTGTTTGTCATCCGCAACGTGCTGGCAAAGCTGCAGCAGCTGCGCAGCATCATCGAGAAACAAAGCTGCTATCGCTTTTACTCCTGGTAGGCCCTGCTGTGCTGTACATATATTGTTTCGCTTTCTGTACATATATTGTTGTTGTCATTGCGCAGCTCTTTGCTGATCGTGTACGAGGGTAGCGGCGCCTACAACCACTCGATGGACTTTCAAGTGTTGGAGTGCGGCTTTGCCCCCGACGATTCCAAACGGGTGAATGAGCCACTCAAACAGAGCAACTTTGTGCCCATTAGCGAAGACACTGTTTTCCTTGGTGAGTGGGTTTTGGAGGCTTTTCCCGGATTTTTCGCTGATTTATTGGAATATTGCAGACTCCCCGCCCGGTCCCAGCATCACGTCGTCCAGCCCCCGTTCCATGGACAGCTGGATGGCGTTCTCGAACAGTTCAAGCGACGAGGGCTCGCTTAGCAACCCCACGTCGAGCTCCTCCAATGAGAGCAGCGATGGCGAGGCTGCGCCCTCTCAACGAGCGAAGAACCGGCTGCGATTGGCCAATCTGGAGGCACTGGACGACAGCACGGAGGACGAGGAGCTCATTCCGCAGCTAGCGGCCAGGTCAAAAAGGTGCCATCAGCCACCCCGTGGCCAGTACCAAGCGCTAATCGACTGGTTGCAGGTTCTGCGCAGGAGACAAACCGAGCCAGCCCAACCCGCGGGTGGATGTGCGCATCATCGACTTTGCCCACACGTCTTTCAAAGCGAAACACAACTTCAGCAGCCAGACGCACGAGGGCCCCGACGGCGGCTTCCTCACCGGCCTGGACAGTCTCAATCGCCTACTGTCCCAGATTCTGGACGGAAACCAGTAGGCCGCCTTCTTTCCATCTCTGTGATTTATGATTTTCCTGCTTCTCGAGCGTCCAGGTATTACGCGTACCTTTGGTTCACATTCCCACCCGCTCTCTTTCTCTCTGTCTATCTCTCAAAATGGCCAGCGCGCGCGCGCGCTCTTCCTGTTGATGAGGAGGGGGGCGCCTGTGCCCCTCTCCAAAACCCCCCGGAATTGGGGCTTTGGTTTCGATCAACCGAGAATCAGTCGGTTTTTTTTGTGAATGGAATAAAGTGGATTCTGGATTCGATTGCTTTCATTGAACCCCAAATGTGCCCCTTGGAAACTTCCTTATGGAAAAGGGAGGAAAGGGAACACTTTGAATCCTTCTGAGTAAACGTAACTTCCAAACTTCCCCAAGGAGCACTTTGAAATTTCCCCAACTTTTAGAAGACACTTGTTTCTGCTTATGGGGAAAAAAAATTGATGTGTAATTTAATGGAAAATAAAAAAATCTTCAGGATGTTCACTGATTTTCCGTTTAATTTCCAAACAAAACAAAAACGCACTTGCCAGAAAAAGTCTGGACCGTCTCTCAGTGGACAGTGGGGGACTCTTCCAAACCCCTCCGACAAATCAGCCACCCGACGAATTGATTGAAAACAGAAACAAACCGAGAGCGGGAAAACAACTACGTCGGTGCGGGCTTTTTGTGCCTGCGGCCGCTCCAGAGCGACTTCTGGGGGCGCTGCGCGCGGCTGCACCCATTGGGGGCGGGCCGCTCCAGGTTGTTGAGGAACAACAGCACCACCACCACCTGAAACTGCCCTCCATCAGCGCCATTTCTCGCCGAAATCGCTTCACTTGCCAGACTGCCGATGATAAAGTACGTGTAGCTCTGCCAGGGCGAGAGCGGCATTTCCTCCAGCTCTTTGAGCAGCTTCAGCGCCGGCTCGTAGCCGGGCTGCAAGTCCAGCGTGTGCCGGAAGTGCACCTCCGCCTCCTGGTAGTGGCCGTAAGCCTTGAAAATCTCTCCTGCAAACCGGGTTTCTGTTATTTATGTGGTGGCTGGCGCCCCCACTCTTACCTAGAGTAAAGTACTGTTGCCACGCCCCTTTCTCGGGCGGCACCACCTCCAATGAGCGCCTAGTGAGGAAGATCGCGTCGTCCAGATACTGCAGGCGGAACAGCACCTTTGCCAGACTGAGCAAAACTTCCGGATGGTGGGGCGCAACCGATAGGGCTGCAAAGCCCCAGTTAAAACAAAACTGTGCGTGTATTGAAGCGAGTACCTTTGCGGAAGCACTCGATGGCTCTGCGCGGGTCGCCCTTGGTGCGCCAAAAATTGCCCAGCTGGTGCCAGGTTGCCACCGCCCTCGGCCTCTGAAATGCGAATAACTTTGCTTAATCCCGCCGGTTTAACTGATTAATCGATTCCAGTTGATCACTACTGGTTGCCGGCGCAACATGCGACTTATCAGCCAGCTGCTGTTCGCTTTCCTGGCAACAACAGGGCGGGACGCCCTCAAGTGCCATGGCAACAACACCCTGGTGCAAGTGCACGTGATTTTCCGCCATGGCAACCGCACCCCCTCCAAGGCGGGCCTGTGGCCCGCCAACGCCTACTACAACGAGAGCTGCTACGCCCCCTTCGGCTACGGCCAGCTGACCAACGAGGGCAAGTTGGCAGAGTTCCAGCTGGGCGYCGCCCTGCGGCGCCGCTACAACCACTTGCTGGGCCCCYTGTGGACGCCYGCCGTGTACGAGGCCTGGACCACGGACTACGCCCGCACCAAAATGTCCCTGGCCTTGGTATTGGGCGGGTTGTTCCCGCCCACCGAGCCGGTTGCCTGGCACCCGGACATTCCCTGGCAACCGGTGCCCTTCGACTACCACCCGCTGGCCCAGGACAGGGAGCTGCAGTCGTGGGCGTGTCCCACCACGGTGCCCTTGATCTATGCGGACCCGCAGAACGTGGCGCGCCTCCGCTCCTACGACTCGCTCATTCGGACCTTGAGCGAGAACACTGGGCGGGACTTGGACTACATCAGCGCTCTGGATCTGTTCTTCGGCATGGAGATCCAGGAGCAGTTGGGACTGCCGCTGGACAACTGGACGCGCGCCGTCTACCCGGAGCCGCTGCGCAGCTACATCGTGGAGTTCTACTATCTGGAGACCAGCACGGTGGCGCTGAAGAAGGTGCTGGCCGGGTATCTGCTGAAGAAGCTGCTGGCGGACACCGCGGCCCACATAAGCGACGGCACGGGCCCCAAAATCATGCTCTACTCGGGCCATGAGGTGAACGTGGCAACGGTGCTAGCCGCCCTGGGGGTGTACCAGCTGCAGGCCCCGCCCCCTTACGCCTCCCACCTGGTGTTCGAGGTGCGACGGGTCGAGGGCGTTTACGGGCTGCGCATGTTCTACCAGGACTACCAGGGCCGCAGGCCCCACCCACTCACCCTGCCCGGTTGCCAGCGCTTCTGCCCGCTTGAGGACTTTGTGCGCCTCACCGCTCACATAATCCCGCAGTCTGACCAAGAGTGCCTGGGCTCCTGATCGCAAATAAAACCGCAGTTGTATGCATACCTCCTTCTTGGCCTGCCTGAGCTTGCTCTCGACCAGCTCCAGATCCACAGTCTTGCCCATGTTCAGCTTGTACTTCTTCACGAATTCGCCGATGGCTTCCGGCTCAACCAACGGCGGGTGTTTGCCCCTAAAAGTGCAAAAATCAGAGCCGCGCCCCCTAAACACACGGGGGCCCACCTGTCCATCACGCCAGCCAGACTGTCATAGAAGGTGGCGTTGGCCGGTTTGCCGCAGTCCAGTTCGTGCTCGGGGGGGCTCTGGTTGTGCCTGAAAAAGCGCCCAGCTCACTTGCGCCCTATTCGCCCCCCGCGCTCACCTGGCCTGGCAGTGGGGGCTGCGGCGCACCCACGCGCCCCCGTAGCGTTGCGTGCTCGCCACAAGAGCAAAAAGGGAGTCCCCGGGCCGGGCCGAGCACCCAATCTGGTCTGGCTCCCCCGGGATGACGCGGGTGCGGTCCTTGTTCAGCGTCCAGAGGGTGGATGTGCGCGAATTGCTCACCACCGCCTCGAAGCACATTATGTAGAATATCACTGCAAAGGGGGGCAGCAATTAGCCTTCAGTGCCTTCAACTGGGCAAGTTCTAACCTAGAAAGTTGACAGGAATCTTTGGCAGAGTGTTCATGACTAGAACTGGACGGGGGGCCCCTTTGCGCGACTAGGGAGAGTGATCAGTGGCCACCATGCGGGGCGCAGCCTCTCATTGGGGGCGCCAACAGCTGCTGAAAATCTGAGCAAATAACCTAAGCGACTGTGAGTGACGTTTCTTCCATCGGTCCCCTGCTTGCTTCAAGCGCATCCACCCTCTAGTCCATACCAGATGGCGAATGCGCCCCTAAACTCCTTTGCGTGAAAATTAAACACAAAGCTACTCAATAGGCAATTTATTATTAAAAGTCCTCAACGCAAGGACTCGACTGGTTACAGCAAACAGAGGAGATCTTAACGCAACGCGCTAAGAGCCGACAATTAACAGAAAACAATTCATTCGCCACATAACACGATGTGATATGACTATTTAAGGGCAATTTGGTTAGACAACAGGGGCCCCATTTGCGCGCTTTACGACTACATGGGGGGGCTTTGGCTGAGACTTGAGGCTGCTTAAGGACTAGGTGGTGGGGCTACTGGCGCATCAATTTGTCCCGGTCTGACGCCCGGTCGACTCGCAGTCTCACCGCAGTCTTTGATACAAGTACCGGAACTCGGATGGTGTTAGTTTTTTTGGCACTTCACTGGCACTTAGAGAGTCTTTGCTTTCTCCAGCAGGTCGTTGATGAAACTCTACAAAACCGGTTTCAAGTTGGGCGCCTTAACGCTGTCTACTACTCACTTTTACATCGTTCTGCGAGCCCTTGGCGTTCACCAGCAGGTTCTGCAAACGGAAAAAGAGCAATAAAAATGAAAAAGTCTGGGGGGCGATTTGGGGTGCACCTGTAGATGGCGCCGTCTGTGCTCGTCGCTGTCCATGTCCAGCAGCTCGTCGATGTCGATCTCCACTTCCTCGTTGCTGACGCTGTCCTCGATCTTGTTCTGAAACGAAACGGTTCTTCAATTCAAACCAAACCAAGTTGCTTTAAGCGCCCTGAGAGCTGCGCTGAACACTCGGTATGCAATGTGAGATTTAATTGCGGGGCGCCCCCCATTTAGGCAACCAGCAAGTCGACAAGCCGTCTTATCGGCTGCAGATTTAATGACGTCACGCACGAGTTGGCACACAAGGAACAAGAAGCGTCCATCTGTGGGAACAGTGCTTTCGCTCATTCCCATGGCTGCCACCAAGTGGGTCAACTTATTAGCAAAGAATACGCAAATAGTAGCGCACATTTCCTGTCTGAATGCTGGGATTTTTCGCTCCTGCCGGTAGCGCAACAATGTTTAATTGGTTTTGTGCGATTTCCTGGTAAACAGCGCTCGCATGTAAATAAACCCGGCTGCACTGCAATGTTCCGAAAATAGCGAATTTCCCTGCTGCTCAAGAATGAAGGAAAACTGCGCCCGATTTCCCGGCGGGCGGCTGGCAGGGTCAAGGACCGCCCGCCAGTTACCGGGAGCGCGCGATAACAACTTACATTGGTGGATTCGTACAGCTTCTTCAGCTCTTCGTAGAGCCACATTTCGACGGCCAGCCGCTTCCGGATCAGGCTCATCTGATGGTGGCCGTATTTGGCGGTGAGGAACTTTTCGCGCTTCTCCTTCACCTCGCCCTTCTCCTTGAAGTTGACGTGCAACCCGCTCTTGGCCGGCGATCTACAACAAATCTCCCGATGTGGCAATCGCGCATTGGCGCAATTCCTGCGCAGCGCACGTACCTGTTGGTGGTCCGCTGGACGTCACCGACCGCCAGGATGCCCGCCGGGGCGGGCGCCCCGCCATTCGCCACAAAGCCGCCGCCCTGCAGTCCCACCTCCATGCTCTGGAACAGAACCGACTTTGCGTTGACACCAACTGACACTTGGAAGTGACTTGTTGAATGGCCCCCGTAGACAAGCTCACAAGGTTGACAGTGACACGTGGGGTGCGCAGCCAGCGGCAACAACAAACAATCAAACCGAGGAGGCGATTGTTTCTCCTTTGTTATTGTTCAAGTCTTTGGCTAATTAACGTGGCGGCGTGGTGCGTCTCAATTAAACAAAAGACAACTTTCACCCCTTCTGCATGCGCCAATGCGTCCGCTAATTAGGCAACCAGATTTGCGGGCCACAAATGCTGGGAGGTTCGAGGGGGCCGCTAAGACTCTGAGTCTCGGGTGGCTGGGGGGCGCTTACCTGATCGGATGGCACGGGGGAGCAGCAAAACCTATTTTAAACACGTAAAAGCGAGATGCGGTTCGATGAAAAGGGGGGCCGTCACTCGCGCTCGGGTCGAAACTGAAGAGGAACACGCGCAGCTCTGACGCGACTGCGGCTGCTAATCCGCGAATGGGATGGGAGGCCGTGAGACGGACGACCGCTGTTGCCGCTCCTTCCCGATACTCCCCAGGTTAGCTGCCGCCAAAGCCTTCGCAATTTTAGCAAGAACTTATCGGGGGGGTATCGATCCCTGAGGGTGACGCTGGCTGTTGGCTGGCTCCCCCCCATTTAGCAGCGCCTACTCCGCACTAGTCAGCTGTTTGTAGCAATGGCGCCCTACACTTGGTCCATGGGGCTCTTGTTGTGGCTCGCGGTCAGTGTGCGCCCCCAGGAAGTGCTCCCGGCAGGCGCCCCCAAAACAAGCGACATCGATCTGCAAACGTGCATCGCCAACTTCAACGTGCACAAGGACAAAATCATCCGCACTCACGACTCCCAAAATATGGGGGCGCGCTACTTGAACGAGGCCGATTTGGGCAGTCGCGAGGAATGTTTGCGGCTCTGCTGCGAAACTGATGATTGCGACGTTTTCGTCTTCCAGCAGGTAGTTTTTTCGCACATTTTCCGGGTTGAGAACTGGGCAAATGGCGGTTCCAGAGCGCAGGCAATTGCTATTTGTTCCAATGCGGCCCGCCCGAGGACTTCAAGTGCAAGTTCACGCAACACGTGAACTACTCCAGCGCCGTGCTGGCGATCAGCCGGCGCGGCGCCGACCTGGAGAACCAGATCAAGCTGACCAAGCACGTGCAGGAATTGGCCAAATTGCGGGCCAAGCCCGACCTGGAGGCGCCCCGCCCCAGCACCACGCCCCCACCGCCACTCGTCGCCCAGGAAACCGAGCAGGGTGAGTCTCGCTGGGAGTGGCTAATTGTAGCCCCCTTGGAATACATTGTTGCCAGATTTCAGCTCATTTGGACGGAGAGACAAAATGAGAAAGATATTATGTGTTGAAAAGCTTTTTTGACAAATACTACAAACATTGGAAATAGACAKAACTAATGATAYAAAAGTTATTAYTTSKACRYWWTYAWGWCARAACRCTGRTMMKACWTMRACACATTCAASYTTTAACTTCACTTCCCACTTTTAACAGTTCTAACCCCACCTAACYTGACACGATACCTGACATAACATTAGATACTGGCAACGTTGTATTCCAAGGGGGMTAGAATTACCGCTTTCAGCCGCTGGTGACGCCCTTGTTTCAGYGCGCCGGTGCAGTCGCTACCAGTTCGAGTGTCGCTCCAACGGCGAATGCATCGCCATCTATAATGCGTGCGATGGAATCCCGCAGTGCGCCGACGGCAGCGACGAAGCGGCCGAGCTCGGTGAGACCGCGAACTACGCCACCAACTGGTGCTTTGAATGTTTGCTGTTGTTTAGGCTGTCCGGCGCCAGAGGCGCCACCGGTGCCTAGCACCACGCCCCCTCGGGGAACGCCTGCCCCCCCACCCGCTCTGCACCCGGCAGTACTTAAATATGGACGCGAAGGGGAACTGGTGAGTGACTTGAAAGGAACGCTGGGTTGTCCAACGTCGCAATTTTTCCTTAAACTTAGTGCATTTACTGAGTAAACCAGCTACTGGAACCCGGTCGGGAAGAGCACGGCCGGCGTTTCTTGCGGCTCGCTTTCCGTGCGGAAATCGCCGTCGACGGCCACCAGGATGATTTCGTAGCTGCGACAGGCGTCAAAATCGCGCAAAACGACGAAATCCTCCGACAGCTCCGGCGACGTTTCGGTCCAGTCGGCGGCCCCCTTCAGGCGGTACTTCAGGAAAAAATGCTCGCCTGGATTGTGCGTCACGTCCGGGACCCACTTGATTAGCGTCTGCACCACGCATCGGTCCTAGACATCAAAACGCTAACACCCCCAAAGCCCCCAAGTAAACTTCGCTACCTGCGGCAACACTGTGTTGAGCACATAGGAGTCGTCGTCCAGCTGGGTGGCGCTAGCGGCGCAGTGCCGCGCAAAATGCCCCGCCTTGTCCAACGGCGCAACGCCAATGGTGTACTTGAAGGCGGGGCGGGAGGGCGTGTAGGGCTGGTGGGGCTCCGCCTCCACCAGCAGCGTGTTGCGTTCGCCCTCGCCTGCGCAATTAACGGCGGCGACTTCAATCAGGTAGCGCTGCCCCAGCTTGAGCCCGGTGATTTTGGCCTGCGTGTTGTCACGCCCCTGGATGAACTCCTGCACGGTGGTCTGCGCATTGTGGCCGAACTCCTGCGCCTCACTGCAGTAGATGTTGTAGCCGAGCAGGGCGCCATTGGCGTGCGCCGGTCGGCGCCACTGCAACAGCGCAGACTGGGAGCCCAGTTGGCTGTGCTCGAAATGAAACGGCATCCCTGGCTCTGGAAACATTCATTGCTTTGCATATCCAGCAGGTTCTGCGCAGATTGGGCGATTTACCAGTTTGGGGCGCGTCGAACCACATGGCAACGCTGCGCGGGCCGACGTACTTGTCGTTGCGCACCGACACCGTCACAAAGTTGCGCGAGTAGGGGAAGAACTGGACAGCTGTCTGCGTCACTTCCGGCGGAATGGCGTAGACCTGGCTGAGGGCGTGGTTCCAGATGCGCACTATGTAGCCCCTGGTCGAAAATTCCCCATTGTTTGTCGACTTGATTGAAATTCCGAAAAACATACCTGAAGCTGCCCCGCACTGATTCGGACGCCACCGGCTCCCAACTGATCAGCGCGTCGCGGCTTTCGAAGCCCACCAGCGTCAGGTTGATGGGCGCGGCCAGCGGAACCAACTCGCCTAAAATCGACCAAAAATCACACGGTTTGCCCTGTACAATCGCTGGAAATTTTGCCCAAAGCGGCAGCACTCTCCCCTAGGATTGAAAGAGGAAACCAACGGCAACGCCGGCGATTTAAGCAGTGGATGCGCAACCACGCGCGACACGCGCTGCGCCCCTGATCCAATGATGAGCTAATGCCTCCGTCCTAGTAGGCGTGGGGCGATCGTCAATAATCATCATCAATCAGCGGCACTTGATTGGGCCAGTTTGCACTGCGCGGCGCCGCTGTTTTCCTGCTCATTCGGCCACTGTTGCCGTTGGAATTCACCCACTTTCAAGGCAGGTTTTTTCAGTTAACGAAAAGTCGCTGCTGCGCTTTCTGCGCTCCTGCTAGCCGCCTGCGATCAGTATTCAGACATATCCCGATGTCTTTTTACGCAAATCAAGCTACTTACGCGTCAGTTTAGTTCGGTTGTTGGCCGAGCAGTGGGCGCACAACGCAAACAGCGCCAGAAAACACCAAACAGCTGCCATGCCGCACTTTTCGCATCTGCTCAGGTACTGGAAGGCTGCGCTGCTCAGCGTAGGCCTACGCCCCCATGCTGCCTATACAGGGCGGCCCGGAAAACAGCGGTATTCCCCGTCGGACGGGGATTCAGTGGCGATTGGCCACCCGGTAGATGCGGCGCGATAATCAGCCATTTCCTTATTTTGTGAATAACCGTGCCGCCAATTGTTTAATGGATCTCGAAGGTGGCGCTTAACAACATCCGGTTGCCGTCCAAGAAGGAAATTGATGCGTTCAAGATTGCCTCCATATTTTTGCTGCTGCTGAGCCAGTTTTTCACCCGATAACGCATACAAACAGTTTTTTTCACTTCAACAATTTCAACATTCAAAAAAAATGGATTTTTCTTAAATTTGCAGGTGCAGGAGCAACAGCAGCAACAGTTGCCCACTCAGCAACAGAAGACAGCCATCTACTCGAATCCTTACCAGGATGCGGACGTTGTGCGGCCCCCAGTGCGCATGTTTGACCCGGTGGGTGGGGCCAGTTGGGGCGCGAACTGGGGCGCCCCCGTTCCCCAACTGCCCCCATACCCAGGTAAGTAACTCACTCAAACATAACCTCCTAGTTGCGCGTCACGTTCTGTGTGTAGAGGTGCGTCGCCATGGCGACGCCCCAGCATTGCCAGCTCAGTTGCAGTATCCCGAGTACCGGGGACGGCCCGCCAACTACTATCCGGACAGACAGCCGGAGACTTGGCCAGCAGGTAAAACTCTCTTCGCCCTTTCAACGAAAAACTATTTGCGTGTCATTTTAGAGCGCTACGCCCCTCCGTCTGGGTATGGGGGCTTGGAGGCCGCAGCCCCTGGAGGTGAGTGCTTTCACACCCTTTTGGCAAGATTTTAAAGTGCGATTCCCACAGCCCCTAAGCCGCAGGAGAGTGCAGCAGGTAGGCAACTTCCCGAACAATCACCGCCTGGGGGCGACTGCAATGAGGCTTTGTTGCAGGGCTGCGCGACCAGCAGCAGCAGCTGGCGCACGATCTGCAGCATTCCAAGGAGGGGGCGCAGGCCAGCAGGGTGGTGGTCAAGGTGGCGCCGCGCCCTCAGTATGCGGAACCCTACAAGATGGCCGTTGAGGACACCCAAGATGGCCAGGCGGGCATCCCTCGCGGCGCCATTTTGTCCCTTACCATCGGTAAGCCGATTCCACACCTTTGCCCACTTCCGGCTTTAATCCAGGGCCGGCAGGATTGGTGCTGACCGCCGTGATGGCCATCCTGATTGGCTGCCGCCTGCGCGTGGTGCGCCGTAGACTGCGCAAGGGCGAAAACGGCTACGCCCACGACGCAGACTATTTGGTGAATGGGATGTACCTGTAAGCTCCGCCCCCCGTCCGTGACGTCTGAGCTGAACGCCACCAATCAGCAGTAAACGCCGCTAGGTGTGCCTGGTTGCCTGCAAGGCAACGGCTGTAGCCGCTTTTTTTATGTTTTTAGGGCCCCGAAGCGCCCAAATAAACAGTTGGGGAAAAACGCAGACTCTTTCAATGAAAACAACGTATTCCTAATCGCTCGGGGGACTCCAAGGCACCAGCGTCCATGTTAACACTTGTAATTAAGACATTTAACAAACAAAAAATATAAGCAAAACTCCTAGTAGAAAACAACAACGTTAATGCATTTTATATAACAATACACTTAGCCTAGGCGTCTAGTAAGTCGGTATAAAGTATGGCTATAATGTGGGGGGTCGGGTTAAAACGTGGGAGGGTGGGCGTTGTTGCCGACACCAGCTGATTGTGGGGGAGTACATGACTGGGGACTAACCGCAGCATTTGGCAACATCAGCGTCCAGCTGAGCCAGGGAATTTGTACTGTGTGTGTGTGTGTCTAGTGCTCAGTGCAAAGGCTCAGACTGAGCTGGAGCAGTTGGAGGCTTGCGCGAGCATGCGGCACTGTTTCTCCAGCCGTTCCACATTGGCGAACAGGTACGCATTTTCCACGTACAGATCCTTGACGAACAGGTCGTTGCGCTGCAGCTTGTCCAGGTGCTCGCTGCACAGGCGCATCTGCTGGTCCAGCTTCTCCTGGCAGTACTTGAGCTTGGCCTGCAGTTCGGCGCGCTCGCCCATGAACTGTTGCCAGAACCCTGAAAAAATCCGGTGACTTGACGGAAAAGCCGAGAAAAAACAAATGGGGGCTTACGCTGCAGCGTTTGCTCGTTGTGGTAGTGCTGCTGCTTCATGCACCGCTGCAGATGACGCACGCTCTCCTGCAGATGGTCGCCGCGTCCGATCAGGTTGTTGAAGACGCACAGCGGCAGCACCACATTCTGCTCGGTCGGTTCCGGGCTCTTTTTGCTCGCGCCCTCCTTGTCTGCGCCGCTTTTCTGGTACAGCGTCTTGTCGTGTTTGCGCATACGTTTCGGCCTGCAGGGCGTCTGACTGGTTGCGTTCGTGGACCAGCTGGGCTCGGCCGCCGGTTGCATGTCCGCAGGAGCGCGGGACGTGTTCTCGATCACGTAGCTGGTGAAGGTGGACATTTTGGCGAGGACGCGGCGCTCCTCCGCGTCGGTCTGCTGCAACTGCAGCTCGCTCAGCCGCCCGTTCAGAATGCTGATCTCCTCCTCTTTGCGGAACAGTTCCTCCTCGTGGCTCGCTTTGTACTCCTCGAACTCCTGCTCCAGATCGGTGAACTGCTTCTCCAGGTGTGCGGTTTCGGCGATCGGCGCCAGCCGACTGTCCAGCAGGTCCTGCTGCGCGTACTGTTCCTCGTATTCGCGCATCTTGTCCAGCAGGTCGTTCAGCTTGTCGCCGCTGACGCGCTGCTCCGCATCGAACAGCTGACGCTCCTCATTCACTTTGCTCTGTGGACGCGCAAAATTGCGGAAACCCGATTTCTGCGCAGCAAACGCGCTTGCTTTGGCCTCACCTGCCAGTAGTCTTCGCACTTTTCAAACTCGGTGCGCAGCAACTCGACGCAGTCATCCAGCTCGGTGCATTTGGCCACCAGGTCGCGGTTTTCCTGCTCCAGGCGGCGCACCGTCGCCTCCACCTCGTCCACATCGGTCTGGCAACCCTGCTGCGCCACGGGCCTGGAAATGGCGCGCTTGGTGTCCTCGATGACCTGTTCCAGCTCGCGCACTCGCTCACTGAGCGAAATGCCACTGTTGCCGCTCTGCCAATCAAAAAAGCCTTCTACCCGGAGGAAATTTGCTTGGAAACGACACCCACCTGGAAAACGGGCACGGGAACGTTGTGCTGCGCCAGCACCTGCTCCAGAAAGGCCACCTTGGCCTGCAACCTGCAACACACCGCAAACGTTAGGCAACCAACGCCACCCTCACGATCAGCGTCCCAACCTGTGCACCTCGTCGGGATCGCATGTTGACGTTGACAGCGACTCTGGCTCGGTGTCAAAACCGCTCTCGCTCGACGCAAAGGGCGCGTCCACTTTGCCTGCAACCGAACATACACGTTAGCAAATGGGAGGGCGTGGCCCAACCTACAGGGGCTCGACACCACCAGGCAACAGTGGGGGTAAGTTTCTGATTGGTGCACAAAATTTGGGGGCGTGTCTTAGGCCCGACTGTCGCCACTGCAGGTCCTATCGAGTCGCTGTAGCCCAACTGACCGCTTCCATCGCCCATCACACAAACTGTTGCCGCTATGCGCCAAAAATACCACCCATAACGGCGATTATTCGCGTAAATTACCAGCAGTTTCGAGCGCGGTTGGCCATCGAAACCGTACTGGACGGATGGAATGTGGGTACCGGCGGTACCAGCACTGGTCCGCGTGGGCAGTGGCCTCGAAGTGAAAGTGTGCCCATGTGAAATGCATTAAATTTAAACTAGGAAAAAATGCGCCGCAAAGCAATCGAATCGCTATAAGAAAGGAGAAACCGATCGAGTCAATTTCGGGGCCGTTAAACTCGAGCTTGGTTCACTGTGCGGGCAGAGGAGTGGACTTACCGGCTGGTGCGGGCCTGGAGGGGACTTCGTCCTCCTCCTCCTCCTCCTCCATTGACTGGTCCAAGGTGTTGAAGCTCCTGGTGGGGGTGCAGTTGGCCTTGCCCTTCATGGTCATCAGCGTCTCGATTTCCGCCTCCATCTCGTCGTTCCGGTCCTTCAGCTGGCTGGTTTTCATTTGCAGCGTTGTCAGCTGCGCCAGCAGCATCTCGCTCTCTTGCCGCTTCAGCTCACTGAAAACACCCCGAGCATTAAGAGCTGGTCGGCGACCTGGCAGCACTGCCGGCGCTACCTCAGCTGCAATTTGTCGGCCTCTAGGACGCCGACGCGTTCCAGCAGCTGCTGCTTGTCCTTGTTCAGGTCGCCGATGCGACTGTTGAGGGTTTGCGCTTCGCGCTCCACCTCCATGGAGTACTGCTGCGCAATCTGGAGGTCGCCCTTCAGCTTGCCGGCCTCCAGTTCCAGTGTGTCGATGCGCAGCTCTAGCGCCTGATTGAGACTGTGCAGCTGCTCCTTGTCTTTGCCCGTTTGAGCGGTCAGTTCGCGCAGCATGTCTGCATGGCGCTGCTCCAGCAGCTTCACCTGGTTGAGCGCCGTTTGCTCCATGCGCAGATGATTGTCGTCCACCTCCTGGGCGAGCAGTGTTGCCCGATTGTTGGCGTCGGCCACGTCCAGCTTCAGCTTCTCGCGCTCGGCACGCAGCTGATCCAGAATGCTGCGCAGGCACCGAATCTCCGACTGGTAGAGCGCCAGGTTGGCTTGGAGCAGCACCAAGTGGGGGTTCTGCGCGTATTCGCGTGCTTCGCTGATGGTTCGCGTCTGCTTTTCCAGCCGCTCGGCCAAATCTACAAGCGGAAAACGGTTGCCGATGTGGGCAGGATTTATAATTGCTCACCGTTGATGCGTATGGTGCGGGTGTCGAATCCCAGCTCAACCAGCAGCTCTTTGGGCGAGTGCAGCCCGATGGCTTCCCACATTTCGATGAGCGAATCGGCGCTGACAAAGCCGTCGCCATCTGGGCCCAGGGTTACGTACTGGAAGGTCTGCGAGTCTGGAAAGAGCGCATTGTCCGCCTGGACGGTCCAGGTTTCGTCGCGTCGCGCCACCTCCAGCACTTCTCTGAAGCTGATCTTGCGGTCGCAATTGAGCTCCAGCTGCTTGATCACTTCGTCGGCCAGCTTGTGCAGCCCTGCGCAACCACAGCCAATCAGCGGCTTTTTTGGGACACCTTGGGGCCGTACGGCCAATGGCAGCTTACCAATGGCGTCGCACACTAGGAGCAGTTCGGTCTGGTTGAGGAAGCCGTCGGCGCCCACGCCCAACTTGCTCCACGCCTGACGGAGCGTCTCTTCAGTGCACTCGATTTGGCGCCCAGCCTGCGGAGCGGCGTGGCTTGCCGGCAACGAGGTGCATCTGCAAAATTCCCCGGTTTCCCAGCTTTAGACAAAAACCTTCAGCAGATCTCCAACTAAAACCTTTTCAGCTTGAAGTTGGTTTTGCGCTTCTTGGACAGCACCTCGCTCTGCGAGTTGGAGCGTTGCACCGGCCTGCCGTCGCCCTCCTCTTGGTAAATCGGCCTGAACAAACTCGCTTATTACGGGCGCATTCGCCATTCCGTCCAACCCACCTGGTGCGTCTGCCGTACTTTTTGCTGCCATAGACGTACTTGGGGCACTCCTGGTCCGCCTCCACCCCTGGACTGCTGGGCGTCTTGGTAGGGCTCTTCTGGTTCTGCATGCGAGCTAAAAACCAAGCGCGTTAGTCAGGGCCTGGCCTGAAATCGAGTCACACTCACCCAGCAAATTCAGCAGCGCCTCCTTGAATTCGGCAAAGGTGGCGCGCCGCTGATGGTCCCCCAAAAGGCTGTGGACCAGTTCGGAGCTTTGATCGTCCAGCTGCAGGGTGAGGCACAGTTGGACGAGCCCATCGCGGTCCAGACTGCCCACATTGTCAATGTCGTGGCTGTTGAACTCCTTCAGCAGCTGCTGTTCGTAGGGGTCCAGGCGGGAAACCAGATCCATAGTGCCTGGAAACGGGGGGATGGGGCTGATTAAAGTTCCTATGCAAACGATATAGAAGTGATCATCAAGGGGCAGAGCGCCAGTGAATGGCCTTCCAGACTCGTTTCGAAACTATGCGCGCTATTTGGAGCATGAATCTAAATTTAGTACAAGGGCGTCCGCTCGGGCTGAAATCCGCACAGGGTGGGAGCGACTTGGGGGGCCCCAGGGGCTGGCAAAGGCAAAATGGGGTGCAGAAAAAGGCCCCACCTAGGAGGAACTTACCAATGGGTGTGTGTGATGGAGAGAGAAGGGGGTGGGTGGCTGGCAACGAAAAGATCTCGTGAGGGGCTACTGGCTCGCTTGGGGGCTCCAGTGACTCTTCATAACGCCAGAATGGGGCCGCAGTGCTTCAATTTCCTTCAACACAAAGTTGCTGGCTGGAGAAGCGCCATTAAGCGTCAAGTCCCGCAAACATCTGACATTAGAGCTGGGCCATGACAGGACCACAACTGGCAACGCCGACCAAGAGCCCAAACCCCGCCGACTTAATTAGTTAATTAGTTCGAATTGAGCCAGTTAATGAATGTCTGGCTGGTGTTTGGATTCATTTACAATTTCCGGGGCCATTCTGGATTTTCGGCCCGACTGGGAACATGAATGGGGAAGTGGAAAGGGTCGGCCAATAAGGGCCGACCCTATAGAGGTCGAATAGAGCAGGGAGCGGCCGGCGCCAGGAGGGGAGCGGACCGGAGGCTCACAAACGGCGCAAGTCTCCGCTCGGTCAATACTCCAGTCAACCCGAAAACTGGTTGAAAAGTCAGTGTGCAGCAGCAGCAGTCGCGATCGAAGATTTTAACTCGAAGCGTTTAAAGCGTGTTTTCGCGTATAATAGGGATGATTTCTACCTGAATTTACTCGGTCCAACCACTGGGGCACGTGCCGTTCGGTTATGGTGTGCAGTTGAGCTTGAATGGGCCCCCAAATCGCCCCCCAAGCACTATGAAGGGCTCTCACCCCGTTTGGATCATCGTCGCGCTGCTTGCGGGTGAGTCTTAGGGCGAGCACACCCTGTACAAGGGCTGCAAAGGGTGTTGGAGGCGACGGGAATCCGACGCTGGGCCCTGATTTAGACGGCTGGAAAATCCGTCTCCGAACAGTCTTAACTGGATTAGTCGGCGCCGAGATAAGAAAATCGCTCCTCGCACTGTTTATTTGCTATTGGGGCGATTTCGGCCGAACGGTCATCGATTTCCACCGTCTAAAAATAGCGATTTCGGCCACAACAACACACACTTCCACGAAGGAAATCGCGAATTTTCCTTTTGAGTCGAACTGGGCGCACGCACCATTTTGTCCATGGCTGCAGATTTTAATGCTTACCTTTGCAGGCCTGGGACTGGCAGTGAATGTTCACTTCGAGACCAAAGACGGCGGTTTCTTCCTGAACCAGCAGCCCCGCCAGCACTACCCCATGATGCCCGAGGCATTGGCGCCGCTCGGGGGCGGCGTCGCCGCCGGAGGGACGCCACTGTCCGTCGATCGTTTCACCGTTTTGCAGAGCAGCCAGCCGATTTCAGTGCGCGCCACTTATGGACCGTTCAGCACCAAACAGACGGTTCCTGCACGCTATGTGGTGCCCGATCCCGTCCCATTCAACTCCACAGGTACCCCTCCAGTCGCTGTTGCCCACAGTGGGACTAATGATTTGGAATGCAGGGCAGGGGTTCGAGCTGCAGGACCAGGCGACGCACCATCTGGACATGTCGGCGCACATTGTGCCCAGCGAAGTGCCGCGAGACAAGCCAGTGCTGCGCGTTCTTTTCCACACCGGGACTGATCCGGGGGGGCGGCGCCAGGTCCTGCTGGCCAGGCACCATCAGCGCGTCTGCATCGGTAAGTTCAGTTCAGGATCTTCCAAATGTGCTCACCTTGAAGAAAACCACTGTTTTCCCGGGGTCTTCTGGCACTTTTCACCACCGTTTGACGTTTCCGGTGTTAACCGGAAGCGCCGTCCAAAAATCGTGTCAAACATTCGCCAGTTCAAAAGTCCAGACGTCCCCTAGGTGGCTAGTTGGAACTACCAGTTAAGTAGTCATTTGGGCCTTGTTTTGTCCCTAGAAGACAGTTGAATCTCAAAATGCTGAAAATTTCTTCCAAATTGCCTTGACCCCTGATTCTTGCCGACTTGAAAACGTTGGCACAAAAATGAGCGTTTTTACCCAAAATCACCCTTTGTTTCAAAAAATCGCAACTTCCAATCTAGAGCAAGCAGACCCTTGAAATTTTCACCGTCCATAGAAGACAGTTGAATCTCAAAATGCTGAAAATTTCGCCCAAATCCCCTTAACCCCTGAGTTTTGCCGACATGGAAAAGTTGGTTCCGAATTGAAAACTGTACTCCTGCAGTTAGCAGGCACAATAAACAAGCGCACTTATCCCATACAGCGTTTAAGCGAAAATAGCTTGTGAAAACCCAACGTTGTTTGCAGTGTTGCATGCTAGCATGGGACAGCGGCCCCCATTGAGAGCCGCCTGCAGCCCGGAGGGCGAAGAGGGCGCCTGTCTGGCGCAGATCACCATCCCCGCCTCTTGGTGGCCGCCCCTGACTCCGCCCGGACATCCGGACAAGCCCACCAAAACCCCCGCCCGACTAGTTCAGGTACCAAACGTCCCCTTGGGTCCCGCCAGTTTTGTGTATCGCCTGCCTGATCCTTACACAGGTGGCGTATTCGGTGCTGGAGCCGTGGCCTGAAGAGGGCGAGGGCTGCCGGCCCCAGATGGCGGTGCAGCCGGGGGTGGTGCTGGGGCAGGTGCCCCTAGCAGCCGCCCAGGGCGCCTACAAGGAGCTGAAGCTGACGGAGGCGGTGCGCATGTTGGTGCCGCACCCGCCGCTCTTTCCCATGTCGCGGCTCCACGTTGCCGTCTTCCTCGACAGGGCCAAAGCGCGTGACGTCACCGCGGTGGTGATACGGTAAGTCAAAAAAATGTAAAAATCAGAGTTTGCCAGTCACTGTCAAAGTCACAGGGCTCGCGTCAAAAGCGGCATCCGACTGTTGGACGCCACGCCATCTGGCGTCACTGCCTGGAACATCACGGTGGAAATCAACGCGCGTCACACCGGCGCCACTGTTACTCTGCTGCGCAGAGAGCCGCCCGAGGAGGACGGGGCGACGCAGTCGCCTGCAGAGTGAGTGAGGCCGACTGAGCCTAAGACAGCGCACTGATCTGCGCCGCGTTTCAGGTGCGTGGAGCTCTTCACCTGGCTGCTGGAGGTGACGGAGGACGAGATCTACGAGGGGGCGCGCATTGTGTGGACGGCGCGCTTCGAGCCCGCGCAACTAGAGGAGCAGCTGTTCCACTCTTCGGCGCAGCGGTCGGACTCGCGCAAGTTCACCACCCGCTTCGAGATCCAGAAGGACGACATCCAGGCAGTGGTCCCCATCAGCAAGGTGGGTGCCAGTCGATCCACACCTTCCCCCGCCCTAAAAGCCCCACTCCTTTGCAGAATTGGGAGGTGCTCAACACGGCGGTGCTCACCGGCCAGCAGGTGTCGCAGGCGATGAAGGTCTTCATAGTGTCGCAGGCGGGCAAAGCGGCCGACGTCACTTTCCAGGCCTCCTGCCACTCGGAGGACGACAGCGTTCTGAAGGTGTGTGGGTACAGKGGGCGCCTGCCATTCTTCTGATTGGTTGGCTGTAGGTGTCCTCCTCCTGCGGCTCAGTCTACGTGGACGGCAGCGAGCAGCGCGGCTCCATGAACGCCTCCGTGGTGGTGAAGTACGGGACCTACACCGGACTGGCGCGCTTCACCGTCTGGATGCCCGAGTTTCCCCTAGAGGTGGTGGTGGGCGACTCCCGCTTGTCCCAGCTGAAGTCGTGGCGCGTGCCCGAGTACCACCCAGTGTAAGTTTCTAGTAGCTAGTTGAACTGGCCGCAATCTAGGAGTGGTTGATGGAGCAGGTCGGTGAAGAGCAGGCGGCGCAAGCGCGCTGCCGCCCCCTGGGGCGGCGCCCCCGACCTGGAGGCCTCCGGCAACATGGTGGAGCGGCCGCTCTGCCGGCTGCGCTACCAGCAAACATCCGTCGAAGTGTACGCGCACTTTCTGGCCACTGACCACGAATCCGGCCGCGTCAGCTACCTGGTGAACCGGCGCACCTGGCTGCGGGTGACCGAGCTGGTGCTGCCCTGTCTGCGCGTCAGCGACCCGCGCATCGCCAGCCTGCACGGCAAAGTGCTGCAGGGCCGCAGCATGGGGCGCGCCGAAGTCCAGGTACCAGGTGAATCGCCACTGCGACTTTCGCTACTAAGTGGCAACCGTGTTGGCAGGTGCTGTCGCCTGTCACCAGTCGCGTGTATGGGTCGCGCGAGGTGCGCGTGGTCAACGAGAAAGTGGGCGTGACCAAGATGGCGGTCCGTGTCGTCACTGGGCTGCAGCTGAACATCTCCCCGGATACCAGCGTGGAGAATGGCTACGTAGCTGAGACGAGCGTCACCCGGAAGCTGACCGCTCAGTATCAGGTGGGCTCGCGCTCCGCCCTTTTACCGATCTAGTGACCGTGCGGCTGTTGCAGGAGGGGCTGCTGGACATCGAGCTGGAGTTCTCGGACGGCAGCAGGACGGCGCTGCGCGACATCGCCGACACCGACTACCACCTGGTGGTAGAAAGCCTGGACCCGGCAGTGGTTGCATTTGCGCCAATGGTGGCGTCGCACCATCCGCGCGTCATCGCAGTGGGCGAGGGCAGCGGCGACCTGCTGCAGGTGACGCTCCTGCTGCCTGAAGAGTGCCGCACGGCCAGTCGCACCAAGGCGAAACCTGCGGGGCCGCTGGCCACCGCAGCCGCCCAAATCACCGTGGACTTCAGCAGCGCCCAACCCGACATCCTGCAGAACGACGGCAGCTCGAAGGCGGGCAGGGACTTTGGCGACTTGCAGGACATCCTCAAAGGTACCGCCCGCCCGCCTGTCTGTTCTTCCCTTTCCTTGCTGATGGCAGTGCGTTTGTAGGCGCGGCCCAAAAAGAGGAGAAATCGCACGAGCCGCACGTGCAAGCGCGCCAGTACCAAGGCAACAAGGGCGTGACCAAAAACAGACACGCCTACAGCCCGCTGACGCCCCTCGAGATCAGCATGTACGTGCTGTTGGCCGCCTTCTGCTGCGCCATTGTGGTCAGTAGCGCATCCATTCCCGACACACTTGTCACAACAAAAGTTGCATTTAACTCACCGGCCTGTTCTGTCCCCACAGGTGTTTGTGGTCTCCTGTGTGGTCTACGCGTCCAAGTTCAAGCCAATGGAAGCGGGCGTGACTGCGGGCGTGCACGCCTCCCCCATAAACGCCACGCCCCATCTGCGCAAGCCGCGCGAAACCACCCAGAACGCGCACGATTGGGTGTGGCTGGGCAGGGCCACCATGGACCCGCCCTCCAATCGCAGCTCGGCTGTGAGTTGGCATCGTCGCCCCCCCGCCCCCAGGGCGTCTTGTCTGGTTGACAGCAACTGTCTGTTGCAGGTGGGGCAGGACATGCGGATCATCACCAACCCGCTGACCTTGAACTACGTGGAGCCGGATGATTCGTTGGCCACCAGCTTCACGAACCCCCACCACATCAATTTGCCGGCCACTGCAGTGGACAGTGCGACGTATTCTCGCGGCAGTGGGGGGCGCATGAGCAACGTGGTGATCGAGGACGAAGTCCAGGCCTGGTAAGCAGCCGGCATGGGTTGGGGGATTTCATTTGAAGGATGGGTGTGGTTTAGGAGCAGGCCGATTCCGCCGCCGCCGCTGCCGCCCCATGCCGCCCCACCCAAGGCCCCAGTGGAGGAGTACCGCCCGCCAGTGCCGCCCCATCGGAACATGCAGCACCACCAAAGGTCTGAACCCGCTAAATCAACTGGTTCTTTAGTACGTGACGGGTGTCTTCGTGCCGGTAGGGCCAGCGAAGCCGAGCTGGACCAAAGCGAAGAGACTGGGGAGGAGGAGGAAGTGGAGGGGCGCCCGGTTTTCCAGTTCGATGACGAGCCTGCGGCGGAATTCGTGGCAAATGTGGCACCACCGCGCAGCCGAACCGTTGCCGAGGTGAAGCGCGCCACTGTTGTGGGCAACCCGATGTGTCGCACCAATCAGGCGAGCGAAAACGAGCCGGAGGGCGTGGCCCCGGGCGAACTGCCCGACCACTTGGGCGTGGACTACGACCAGATCATGCGCTACTTCGACAATCTGAAGGCACGCCCCCCCATTTGAATAGTGGGCCCCGATTGGCTCTGACCGACATTTGACATTTGCAGGAATCGAACGCCTGAGTGGAAGAGATCATTGCAAAGATCCGGCACATTTTGCTGTCGTTCCGCTACAATGGCAGCGCCCTCGACGGCCCGTTCGAGTACCACTTTGATCGCGTCAGCCAATCGTACGCCTGACGCGAGCGAGTGCAACCAGCTGGCGCCACTTGTTGAGCGATTTTTGCAGTGATCTGCCGCGACTAAACCCACGGAAAGCAAGCGAATGGAAGAAGGAATCTTCACACACACACACACACGCTCTATTCTAGTCAGTTGTTAGAGTAACAAATAATCAATTAAGCTTTACCAATTAATTAATAACCGTGCACCTGAATGTATTTATTTGTAATAAGAGGCGAGACGCGTGTAGCAAGGAGCGCCATCTTTGAGTGCTGGCAACACAGTGCCAGGCTCCTGTACAATGTTCTGTAAATGTATTGTATGTACATAGTTGCCAGACTGATATTCCGCTTTTTGAGCTTTTCTAGCTTAATCAGTGTTTAGATTGTAGTAGGACTTCGATATTAGGACTTCGGTTGATTCCCTCAAGGATTTTTCAGTATTACATGGATGTACATAATGGGCGAAGCCCACTGATCGACTGTCTGCCATTTTTTCTTGCCGATGAACAATTTCACTGTAAGTTACCACTGGAACTCCAATAAATAAATCAAGAGCCACAAGGAGGTGAATTTTTATTATTTGTTTTTGTTTTTTTAACGCCTTTTTTTATGATTCTCCTTATGGGGAAAATTGTAACTTCGGCAAAGGTGCACTTTATATCTGGCGGATTTTGGCTTTCTTTTTAATTTTCCCTTAAAGTACACTTGTTTTTTGCTGTTGCTGCCGCTCAAAAACCGTCCAAATAGACAGAAAATGTTGATTATTTAGGCACTGGAAAGGCGCTCTTTCCGATGAAAATGATGTATCACTCGAGGTATTTTGAGGAACTTGAATTTGAATTTGTTGGTACTCGTCTTTATCTATGGGCATACCTATCGCACCTTCACCGATGCAGGCAACATAACCTTGTCGTCTTTATTTCTGAACATAACCTAGTTGTTTCATTGACATCCGCACTGTTTTGCTGCAGTATGTTAGAAGGTGAGTTTAAAGGGGGCGCAGCCCTATGGACTGTGTCACTTCACACGTTCCGTTTCAGTCAGCAGCACCGGCTTTTTCCGGGACTTTCACCGACTGCTGCAGTCGAAGGAGGTCGAGCCTTCGCATCAGTTTTCCGTGGCCGAGTGAGTTAAGTGGTTTTCCACTCGAGTGATACTCACGATTGCATTTCAGGTGCGAGTATTCGAAAATCGAGCGCTTCTTTCAATGTAGTGCGGACTTGGAGACGGCCAAAGGCCTGCTCTATCTGGCCTACTTGCGCCAGATGGTGCAACGTCAGGTGGAGAACAGGCGCCAGGACGGCGCCCCGCTGGATGACCAGGTCTACGAACTGGTCCTCAGGACATTGAAGGAGTTCAAGCTGCAGCGGCGCTTCAACCGGCAGGGCTTCGCCCGCTTGCCTGCCAGCACTCTGGAGAAAATCGGCCAGGTATGTCAAGGCCCCGTTGGGCAATTGTTGACCAGACCAGGCTTTAGCAGGAAAAGTTGACGAAAGGCTCATTTTCTTGAGAAGTTCGATGCCAGCAACTTTTTCTAGTGGTGTTTCTGGGGGAAAAGCGGTTTTTCCCCGGTTCTCTATAAAATGTTCTGAAGAATTACCCCTCTGTCATTTTCAGGCGGTAGAGAACGTGGTGGATCGTCTACCGGAGGGTTACTTTGTGCGGCCCCGCAGGGCCTCGGTGAAAATGGGCGACCTGGATCCAGCAGGCCGCCCCAAGCCCGTAAACCCGCTCTTTTACGTGCCCTTGCGCGAGAGCCTGCCCGAAATCGAGAAATACCTCAGCAGGACGGACAGCAGCAGCAGCAGGAGGAGGAGGAGCTTTTCGCTGCTCTACACCGATGAACCGAAAGAGGCTCAAAACTACCCGCTGGAAGCGACGTTCAACGTGTACAAAGCCTCCATCCCCAACTACACCTACGACCAGTTCAGGCGCATTGTGGAGGAGGAGCTGGCGTCCGGGCAGGGCGACGACGAAGCGGTCGCCTATTTCCTGGACACTTTCGGGTGCGCAGTCTTTGAGTTTGTCAGCGAAATCGTCCGGAACCGGCACGGGCGGATCGACTTCTCCAAAGCGGCAGGTGAGTCCTGGACAATCGGGGGTGAACCTGCGGGAAAATGGGGCTGGCAGTTTCCAGAGGCGTGCCGGCGCTGAACAAGAACACAACCGACGCCGTGATCGCGGGCACGGTGACGGTGCAGTCGGAGAAAGAGAGCAACCTGCTGAAGAAGTTGCGCAAGATCGAGAAGAAAGATCGCGCCAAACTGACCGCGGCCGAACTGGAACAGGCCGAGCTCGAGTACGACGCGGCCCGAAAAGCGCCCATCTTCAAGCGCCAGGCGCCCACGCGCCTCGATCCTGAACAGTACCCGCATGTGCACGACCAGATGAGGGACCACATGGTGACCAGTAAGTCCGGCCTGCCCCTCATCGCCTCCTCTAACCCCCTGATCCTTCGTAGGCAAGTACGAAGGCGTGGCCATGTTGCAGCCGGAGAACGCCATCAAGAAAACCACCAGCGACTACCTGGAGTTCACCATTCCGGGCGCGAAGAAGGGCGACGTTCCGGACATGCCCGCGGTGCAGGTGGCCGCCCTCGACCCCATCGGGCGGCTCGTTTTCAAAGACATCAAACAGCTGAATCGGTGAGTTGAGCCCGTCTGCGTGCCCTTCCACTCTGCCACTCTGCCACACCGCAGCATCCAATCGGAGGTGTTTCCGGTCGCTTACCAGACCAATGAGAACATGCTGGTGTGCGCGCCCACTGGTGCCGGCAAGACCAACATCGCCCTGCTGGCCATCGTCCATCAGATTCGCTCGCATATGGAGGGCAGCTTGATCCGGAAGAACGACTTTAAGGTACCACCATTTGATTTCTAAGTGCCGATCTTAAGAACCGATTAGTTATGAGTTTTTAGGGCGCATCCGCCATTGCGTCAATACAGACTTCGAGTTTTAACTACAAATAATTTTTCAGATAATCTACGTGTGCCCCATGAAGGCGCTCGCCACTGAAATGGTGGCGAACTTCGGCAAGAAACTGGCCCCGATCGGCATCCATGTGAAAGAGTGCACGGGCGACATGCAGCTGACCAAAAAAGAGATTCTGGAGACGCAGATGTTGGTGACCACGCCCGAGAAGTGGGACGTGATCACGCGAAAAGGGGCAGGTGGGTTCAAGGTGGGGGCTTCGCCCCCCATTCGGGCTAACTGAGAGCTGTTGCAGTGGACTCCGAGGTGGTGGGGCTGGTGAAGCTGCTGATAATCGACGAGGTGCACCTGTTGAACGGGTCCAGAGGCCCGGTGATCGAGGCGCTGGTGGCCCGCACGCTCCGGCAGGTGGTGAGCAGCCAGAGCATGATTCGGATCGTCGCCCTGTCGGCCACCCTGCCCGGCTACCTGGACGTCGCCCAGTTCCTCAAAGTGAACACGCGAAGCGGGCTGTTTTTCTTCGACAACCGATACCGGGCGGTGCCGCTCACCACCAGCTTCATTGGGGCGAAAAAGCGCAACGAATCCGACATAATGGACCTGGTCTGCTACGAGAAGGTCGAGGAGTTTGTGCGCGAGGGCCATCAGGTGGGCGTTGGGTTCAGTTGCGTGTCGAGCTAAACGCGCCTTTTTCTAGGCAATGGTGTTTGTCACGTCGAGGAACGCGACGGCTGCGGTGGCGAAGCGCTTGATCGAGCTGGCGCAGGAAAGGGGCACTTTGCGGCAGTTCGAGCCCGAGAAGGGGGTGCGCGTGAACCGAGCCGGCTACAAGAACAGCGATCTCGGCTACCTGGTGCCGCAAGGCTTCGGGATCCATCATGCAGGTGGGGCTTCGCCTTTTGTGTCTACTGGCTAACCGATTGATCATTGGGCAGGCATGGTGCGCAGCGATCGGCTGGAGGTGGAGCAGCTGTTCCGCAGCGGGGAGCTCAAGGTGATCGTCTGCACCACCACATTGGCCTGGGGCGTCAACCTGCCCGCGCACGCCGTCATCATACGGGTAAGTAAGCCCCATCTATCCGTTTATACCACCATTCGTGAGTTCAAAGGTCCAAACGCCCTCTGCTGATCAAATTGTAACCACTGTTAAGTAGATAAGTTGTGGTGGATTCCATTATTGGCACTAATTGACAGGCTTTCTCGGCAAAGACGGCAACCATCGATACAAACAATGGGCAGCTTTTGCTGTCATTTCGTCCGAACGATGTCGTTTGACAAGCCTCAATACGGCACGTCCTGTCACTTCTATCGATTGCGGCGATTCGAACCAATCAAATAAGCCTACCGGTTTGTTGTTATCGAACGTATCGTTGACAAGTTCTATCTATCTATATAATCGCCGCAATCGATACAATTGACAAGAAGTGCCGTATACTTAGACGCTTGATGTCGTTTGTCGTGGGGCGAACTGACAGATTAATTACGTGGGGGCGATTTGATTGGTCAACGCGCCGCATTTGCAGGGGACGCTCCACTATGACGCCGCCAAATCCACGTTCGTCGACATGGACATGCTGGATGTGCAGCAGATTTTCGGGCGCGCCGGACGGCCCCAATTCGACACTTCCGGCCACGGCATCATCATCACCAGCATGGCCAACGTGTCCAACTACATGGGACTGATGCTGTCGCAAGTGCCGATCGAGAGCCAGTTCTTGAACTGTGTGCCCGATAATCTGAACGCCGAGGTGCAGTTGCGCCCCTCAGCCGCACCAACTGGCGCCACTAAAACTGCGCAACGTTTCAGATCGTGCTGGGCACCGTCTCCAACCTGCGCGAGGCCATGGAGTGGCTGACCAACACCTTCCTCTACTGCCGCATCCGCAGGAATCCGCTGGTCTACGGGCTGACGTTTAAGGAGGTGTTCGACGGGCTGCAGTTCAATCGGTTCCTGCAGACGCAGATCGACAACGCCGCCGCCACGCTGGAAAAGTCGCAACTGATCCGGTTCGACCCCAGCTTGGGGGAGCTGCGCCCCACCAACTTCGGGCGCATCGCCAGCTTCTACTACATCGCGCACACCACGATGGCGCTGTTCTACCAGCGCTTCGAGCGCTTCATGTCTGAGGCCAGTCTGCTCAGGCTGCTGAGCGAGGCCTCAGAGTTCCAGCAGATCCAGGTGCGCATGGACGAGGTGCACGAGCTGGACCGGCTGCGCGAGTGCAACGAGCTGGACATTGAGCTGGACTTCGCCAACGTCACCTCCAAAGTGATCTGCCTGATCCAGGCCTACATCAGTCGGGAGCAAGTGCGCGTCTCCTCCCTGGCGTCGGACACCCAGTACATCATCCAGGTGAGCCTACAGCTTGCGAGTGCGCGCCTAGATCTGATCGGTTGCGTTGTAGACGGTGGTGCGGCTGGCGCGCGCCCTCTTCGAGATCGCCAAGGACCGCAACTACGCGCTCCAAGTGTCCAGGACGCTGAAGCTGGCCCAGATGGTCGAGCAGCAGATGTGGGACCACATCCATCCGCTCATGCAGTTCAAGGAGCTGGTGCCGCACCTGAGCTCGCATCGCGCCTCTGAGGTGCTCGGCATGGGCGTGGAGGACCTGAAGGAGCTGAGTGAGCGCGAACTGGAGAGTCTGTTTCGTGCCAAGCATGTGGCCGCGCGCGTCAAGCACTTTTGCTCCATTTTCCCGGTCGTCGATGTGACGCATGTGGTCAAGCCCATCACGGATGGCGTGATCCGGTGAGTCTCAGTCACTGTGGCTGGCGCCCTCGCGGTTTGAGCAGCTGTGATTTCCAGGGTGACGCTGCTGGTGAGCCCCGCATTCAAATGGGACCCGCACATTCATGGCAACGTGCAGCACTACTACGCCTGGGTGGAGGACCCCACGCACGACGCCATCTACCATATTGAGTCGTTTGTGGTGACGCGCAAAATGTGCCAGCCGGGCGCCGAGTCCGTTGAGCTGGTTTTCACAGTGCCGCTCACCAAACCGCTCTCTTTGGAGTACTTCCTGCGGGTGGTCAACAGCCAGTTCATGCGTGAGTTGTTTTTTGCAAAAGCGCATTCGCCCAAAAATCCAGTAAATCGGGGTTTTGTGCGTGCTGGTAGATTCCGAGGCGTTTTTCGTGATCGACTTGGACGAGCTGAAGCTGTTCACCTCGGACAGCTTCCAGACGCGCATGCTGGACCTGCAGCCGCTGCCCAAGCACGTGCTGCGCCACAAGCCGTTCGAGGACCTCTACCCGTTCAGCCATTTCAACGTGGTGCAGAGCCAAGTGTTCCATTCGTGCTACCACACGGACACGCCGGTGATTCTGGGCGCGCCCACCGGCTCCGGAAAGACCATCGTGGCCGAACTGTGCATGCTGCGGCTGTTCGCCCACAGCCCCGATCAGAAGGTTGGTCGGCGCCCGCGGGAGAGCGCAGCACTAAATTGCCTGGCTTCTTCCAGGTGGTGTACATAGCGCCGATGAAGGCGTTGGTGCGGGAGCGCACCCTCGATTGGACGGCCAAGTTTGCCAAGATCCAGAAAAAGGCCATCGAAGTGACGGGGGACGTGACGCCGCGCTCCGATCTGATCCGCTCGGCGCACATCATCATCACCACGCCGGAAAAGTGGGACGCAATGAGCCGCAACTGGACCGAGAAGGACTTCGTCAAGCAGGTGGGCCTGATGGTGATCGACGAGATCCATTTGCTGGGCGAAGACCGGGGGCCCGTGCTCGAGGTGATCGTCTCCCGCATGAACTGCATCAACCGCAAGAAGAACACGAATGTGCGCATCATTGGCCTGTCCACGGCGATGGCGAATCCGGGCGATCTGGCCTATTGGCTCAACTGCGACAAGCGCGGCCTCTTCAACTTCAGCTCGGCGGTGCGCCCCGTGCCGCTCGAAATCCATCTGCAGGGCTTCGACGTGAAGAACTACTGCCCGCGAATGGCGGCGATGAATAAGTCGGTCTTCCAGGCCATTGGCCAGTATTCCGGCGACGGCAGCGCCCTGATTTTCGTGTCGTCGCGCAAGCAAACTCGGATCACCGGTAGGTCGAAGCTTTGCGTGCCTCGCTGGTGTGGTAACAGCGAAATTGTCGGCAGGCTACGAGCTGATGAAGTTCCTGCTGACCGAAGGCAACCCGCAGAAGTGGATGCACTGCGCCCCCTTCGAGCTGGAGGACGCCAAGGCTCGGCTGGTGGACCAGGACTTGGCCCAGCTGCTCGCTTACGGCATCGGCATGCATCATGCAGGTACTGGGCGCATTCGCCACCCGGTCCAGAGTGCTGCAGTTTTCCTTTCCAGGGCTGTGCGATTCCGATCGGAATCTGGTCGAGCAGCTCTACGTGAGCCAGAAGATCCAGGTGCTGATCGCCACCGCCACCCTGGCCTGGGGCGTCAACTTCCCCGCCCGCTTGGTGATTGTTAAGGGTGAGTTGCGTGAGTGTGTGGTTGTACGGGATTTCGACCATATTTTTTCCAGGCACGGAGTATTTCGACCCAGTGACCAAACGCTACGTGGACATGCCGATCACCGACGTGATCCAGATGTGCGGCCGAGCTGGTCGGCCCCAATTCGACACCAGCGGCTTCGCCTGCGTGCTGGTGCACGAGTGCAAGAAGAACTTCTACCAGTCAGTGAGCGCCATCTGTGGCGCAGTGCCCGCTTTTAACGAGCCCCACTGTTGCAGGAAGTTCCTGTTCGAGCCGTTTCCGGTCGAATCCAACCTGTTGGAGTCGCTGCCCGACCACGTGAACGCCGAAATAGCGAACGGCAACATTGTCACCAAGGCGCAACTGCTGGAGTTCATCGAGTCGACGTTCTTTTTCCGCCGCCTGCTGGCCAACCCCGGGTACTACCAGCTGGCGGCCGGCGGCGACCCCTTGGAGTACGTGAGCGAACTAGCCGATGCAGTGGTAGAAACCTTGAAGCTGCACGAGTGTGTGGCTGTGCAGGAGAACGAGGGGGAATTCCGGGGCGTTTACGAGCCCACCTTTTTGGGGCTGCTCAGCTGCCAGTACTACCTCTCGTTTAAGAGCGTGCATTTTCTGAGCGAGCAGATGGAGCCGGATTGCTCCTTGGAGGAGCTGCTGCTCCTCGTCTGCCAGGTGGAGGAGTACCGGCTGTTCCCGGTGCGCCACAACGAGGACAACATCAACAAGTAGGCCCCAAAAAGCCCCCTATTCGGCGTGCATTTGCCTCCGTTTCCGCAGGGAACTGGCCAGGGAGCTGGAGGTGCGCACGGACTTTGCCTTCGACTCCCCCTGCCTGAAGGTGCTGCTGATGCTCAAGTGCTACCTGCTGGACGTCAGTCTGCCCAATCAGGAGTACGTGCTGGACCTGAAGTCCGTGCTGGACCAAATCGTCCGGATTGTGCACGTAAGGGCGTCGGGGATTGGCTGGGCATTCAATCAAGGGGCGGGGTTTCAGGCCATGATGAACCTGGCGGCCGCTCGCTATTGGCTGGACTGCACCCTGAAGCTCGCCTACTTGTGCCAGATGCTCATCCAGGGCCAACTGGCTGCGCAGTCCAACCTCATCATGCTCCCCCACATCAACGCGGGGAATTTGAGGCAAATCAACCAGCGCCTGCAGAGCCTGATTGAGGCCTCCAACATGAGCGTGAGTGTGCTGAAGGCGCACCGCCATCTCTCGGGCGGCATCCAGGACGTGTTCCAGAGCCTCCTGGGCCAGAAGGCGGCCCTGGAGGTGATGAGGGCCATCGGCGACCTGCCGCTGCTCACTGTCCAGAGCAGCGTGGTCCGAGGCGCGCTCGCCTTGGACGTCCAAGCCGACCGGGATTGCGTCACTGTCCGGGGACAGGAGGCGGGCGCCTACGTGCTGCAGCTGGCGCTGACCAGGGACGGCTCCAGCCGCATGAGCGTGTCGAGCAAGAAGTTCAACAAGCAAAAGGAGGAGTTCTGGTTCCTGGTGCTGGCGATGGAGGGCCAGTTGGTGTTTCGCAAGTTCGCGATGACGAGGCGCAGCAAGCGCTTGGAGGTCCCGGTGCAGCTGCGGCGCGGTGAGCAGTCAATTCGAAAAAAGGGGATTTTTCTTCTAAAACTTCTGCGCGTTTCAGGCGTTTATAGCTACACGCTGTTTCTGATGAGCGATTGCTACATCGGCATGGACCAGCAGTTGGTTTACCGGATGAAAATCGGCCAGTGATTTGGGGCGCATTCGCCATTTTGTATGTGATTGGAGTGACTCCGTGCAAAAAGTTTCGACTCCCAGTCGTCTTCAGGCAATTGTTTGTTGGGTGATTTATGGTTAGAATAAAGGGAGTTTGGAGGAAATATCTATTCGTTTTTTTTAACTACCGGCCTGAACA